GTTGTTGCTGTTGCTGTTGTTGCTGTTCTGGTGATTGCTGTTGTTGCTGCTGTTGTTGTTGTTGTTGTTGTTGTTGTTGTTGCTGTTGTTGCTGTTGTTGTTGCTGTTCTGGTGGTTGTTGTTGCTGCTGTGGTGGTGCTTGGTGTTGAGTTTGCACTTGATCTCGCTGTTGATGTATACCACTACCGTTATCAAAGTTATTCATGTTTTGATAATCATGATTACCGGCATTGGAGTTGGAAGGTGGAGGAATTGTAGAATGTGCTGTATTTGTGGGGTGGCTATTATTCTGATTTGCAGGCATCCCTAGTAAAGTCGAAAGACCTGGTGTTATTGGACTATTGAGAAAAGCCCCAGGAGTAGTCAAACCTGGCACTTGATTATTAAAACCAAACATGTTTCCCCCTTGGTGATTGACACCGCCAGGAGTCAATCCAGATCTTAAGTTAGATTCGTTTGGCGTTAACCCACTCTTCCTTAACATACTAATAAACTGATTAATGTTCGAATTATTTGAGTTACCAGGATGAAATGAGCCTTCGTGATTAGCTACGCCGTTATTTTGTCCAGCAGGATAGCTCGGATTGGTATTGGTGCCATTTACAATAGCATGGTTACCCCCATCGTTATTCACGCCATTTGTAGTAGCATTGGTTCCATTATTAGGGTTATTCGTAGCGTTTAATAAACTGTTCCACAAGTTCGAGCCGGGGGTGCCCAACCCACCATGCATATGCCCTCCGGGAGATAATCCTAACGGAGGAAGCTTTCTGTCGCCCGGAGTAAGAGATGGCGATGTTCCGGTAGGTGGTCTGTTGATATTCTGATCTAATGATGAAATATTGGGAATATGTAAATTGTGCTTGTTTGTTTCACTCTTCTGTTCATTAGCCTGTACCCCATCTTTACCCTTACCTACTGGTTCACCATTATTGTTTCCCTTATGTCCTTCGCCGTCTTTGGTAGCAAATGACCTTTCAAATGGATTTGGTTCCAACTCAAATGACGTTTTCAGCTATATTTGTTAGTCAGATGCCTGTGACGTAATTGATCCTCTATGTATAAACTTTTTCGTAAATTCTCCGGTTTTACCGTTTTTCTTTTCGTTATACAGAATTTGATTTTGAATTGTATACTTACATCGCTTGACATATTCTTATCTCAACAGAACTATTATTCCTTAGAGTTCTTTGTTGTGTTGGGATCAACGAGATATTACTAAAGAAATTTTATTTACGTCATCTAGAAGGTTACACAAAAATGCGGAACATTCAACCGTTAATTTCTCGTGATTCGGATAAATGTAGACTCAGATCTTACAGTTACAATGTAGATAAATGTAGGGAGATATATAGTAAATACTAGAAACGAGTCCAAATCTTATAGATATATGAATAAGGGTTGGAAATTATATTATAGTTTAATTATTCTAATCAAGATTTTGTAGTAATTTGTTTAGTTTTTCCTTCTTCTCTGCCTTTGCATCTTTTAAGATTTCCGGGTTCTTTTGAGCCTCTTCCATGGCTTCCTCAATGGCAGGTTTATCGGCCGGAGCAGCTTCAGGAGGGTTTTTATGGTCATTTTTAGGTGCGTCATCTTTGTTTTTAGCAGGGACTTTGAAGTTGGCTTGTGGAGACGTGAGATAAGGCTTGTTTCTGGACCAGTCAGTCTTGTGTAAAGGGCCCAAATCGAACCTTGGGAATGGATGGGCCTCAGTATTGAAAACATACTCGTCCAATGGGAACTTGTTGGTGTCGTCGAATAATAAGTACAAGTATTTCAAGGTCTCAGCGAACCAAAATGATTCCATATTGTCTCTCTTTGGTGGGGGTATTTGGGTAACATCGTCCAAAGAAGTATAAGACACTTCACCCTTTCCGTTGGTTACCTTTGTATGTTTGAGGAAATTCTGGAAGATCTCATATCCGTATTCACGGTACTTGACGTCACCTGTGAGTCTATATAAGTAGAACAAAGATTCTACTGTTTCGGGACGCTGTAAATTATGTCTATCGAGTGGCTTAATATAGAAATCGCTCTGAGCCTCTGGTTCTTCGTTGAATACAACAATTTCTGGCGATAAGCCCGTTGGTACGTCGTGGTACATCTTGTAACATGAGTAGGTTAATTCTTCACCTAATTTGAAATCTGATTCTCTATCGGCGTCCCAGTTTGGTAATTTCTTAGCCTCCTTGTATGGAAGCCCGTTGGTGGCTCCTACAGCTAACAATCCACCATAGAAACACACCAAATGATCCATTTTTGGTGATAATCCACCTCCAATTCCATGTTCTAATTCCCCGATATATGTCAACCCATTAGGCGATGATTTTCTTACCATATGCTTCTTAACCCCATCAACAGATTCACGGTACATGTCCCAATAGATCGCTTCTTGGTTATTTGTCTGTAAGTACTGCTTCAATAAGTATTCGTAGTATGAATCACCTCTCGAACCCAATCTTATCATATTACCTTGGTATTTTCCAGTATCTGGTTGAACATAAATAGGAACCAATCCATCCTGAGGTTTGTTCTCATCGAGAACTTTCATCACTTTTTCAACCTTTTCCCAGAATAATGTCTCACCCGTTAATTTAGATAAATACTTGAATTCCAATTGCAATGTTGCCACTTCTGCTGTAGATGATGCACCATTATCAACATGATTCTTAATACCTTTTCCTGTCATCAAGTTTACAGACGAATAAGGCACCCCCGTATTACTGTCGAAACCACCAATCAACCCATTGGCCAAGTCCGTAGCCTTGTCCAAATACATATCATCTTCTGAAATGTGATGGGCTGAAAGCAATCCTCCAAGCATTCGAATTGTAGTTTCAAATACATTAACATTATAATCAAAATGGTAGTCAAGATCATCCTTAACAAACTTCCTTGCACGCGCCAATTGTTCAGGACAATCCATAATCATCAATGTATCTAACGAATCAACAATCATCCATCCCAATGGCTTAGGACCCATATTGCTTCCGGTTTCTTTTATTGGGTGATATACATCCTTACCCCATGCATGCTTCTCGTATGAACTCCAACTTTCTAAGAACACATCTTTCACTTCCTGTTGCTTGTCTGCCCAACTTTTATCGCTTCCACCTAATTCAAAGTCAAACCCTCCTGAGGAAGCATAGTAATAGATAGCGTAAAATACTAAAGACGCTATGAATCCTTTGAAAAGCATCACTTTCTTCTGATTCGTCGTATTAGCTGGCTTGTCTTTATAATACAAAGGTAATCCGTTTGATGTATTCTTAGCTTTCCACGAACTTTTTTTGTTATTTCCAAATGTAAGCTTGTTTGTCCCAAATGAATAACTCATTTATAGCTTACTCTTGTATATCAACAATAAGTAACTATCGTTTCACTCAACAATGATTTTGATTAATGTCGGCATCCCGCGTATGAATTATAACATCCTTACACCGATCCACACACCTCAAATCCCTATCTGGTTATTTTTAAAGATGATTTGAGTATCACTCCAGCTTAAGAAGAAATATATCATACTACATGGTACCAGATTCCTAATGTACCCAGTGTCAGATTGCTTTTGTGTAGACAATATAGAAAATTGTTACTGAATCGAAGATGATAATCCAGAAAGCAGTAAATTTAGATGTACTCAATCGTCCATATATAAACATATTTATTTGCAAATGGCTCTCTTCGTCTTGGTCGATTATAAGTCCATAAAAGTTGTTCGGGAAATATTGGACTGTTGGAACAAGTTTACGGTGTTCTATCGTTCGTATGATAATATGCACGAAGATGCAAAGAATGCGACAACAATCTTCTCGATCTGTCTCACTTGGCCTGTCATTGAACAATCCATTGCAACCATTTCAAACTCGTTTTGGAAATTGGGAAGCTGTTCAATAACAGTTGATATATATCATGCATCAGATATGGCTTAATTTGTGCCAATTAAAGAAAAGAGATGCTTTAGCGATGGAGTTTAGGGTAAATTGGCTTAGTTGCAGCCAAATGGCCCTAGCTAGAGGTGACAAGGGCTAATTAGTTATGATATGATCGAAAGCAAAATGCAATGGAAAGCTTTTATCTCCAATATATTGATGCATTGAGGTCTATTAAGACCACCTAGCTTTCTTGATTCCTAGTTTGCACCCAAACACTCTTAATTGAAAAATATAAAGAAAGAATTGAGAGATCATCAATAGTCCTTGATTTCAATCAGAAATAACATTCACAAACTAAATACATAAACAGAAGTGATTTCAATGCGATTGACGCTAAGAAGCATTCCTTAACATCTTGAATACTTCTCATTCTTTTGTGAAAGTAGAGAACTAATATTTCTCCAGAATGATGACAATTATACTTTTGATTTGACCCTTCAAGATAATATTGAAGATCTGGTAAGTCTATGAGCTATCAGTCATTAGTAATAGACAAATCAAAAGTTGTATGAAAACAACTATTCATTTATCCACAAAATCTAAGTATAGACTGGTGAATAATTGTTAGCACCACCTTAAAAAGTATTTCTCCAACAAAAAACCACTCTGAAGTAAATTAGAAGGATAAACAACGATTCATATCTTTGTACATCAACACCTCCATGGCCATCTTGGTTTGTTAACTAGTTTTGAATCAAGCCATAGACAATGAGTTACACGTGATTTTGGTGATGATAAAAAACAAATCCGTTCTGACCGACCCATCAGCCCTACCTACCTATTCAAAAGTACCCATAAAACAGAAGAGTTGAGTGTAGAGGTATCTAATTATATCTATGACTAACTATATATTAACATAATAGATGTCGTATTTTGCAGAACTGAATCAATACGAGGATAATAAGGATTTATCACCAACCTCATCACTAGGTTCTTCACCTAGCAGCGGGACCAAACCAAACGCCAATTCTTTACTAGATGAGAAAAATGGTAAAGGGAATGGAAGCAAGCAAAGAAATGGAAGAAGAGCTGCTAGAGCATGTAAAAGTTGTCATAGTTTGAAGGTAAAATGTACGCCGGCAGATGAAAATAACCCGAATGGACCATGTATGCGATGTCTTAATTCGAAGAGAAAGTGTGAAATTGATCCCAACCAAACAAGAAAGAGAAGAAAGAAGGCTGAAATCCAAGAGAGTAATAATAATTTAGTGAATGTGATGCAAGAGAAAACTATTACGAAGTTACAGGATGAAGTGAATTCGCTAAAGCGACAATTGGGCCAGCGACAAGAGGATGGGGTAGATCCAGTGTCACCTACTCCAAGTGTATTTTTGGAAAAAGAGTTATTGGCGCTTCGTGATTTCAGTACGTCTAAGTTGAGTGTGTTAACTAGTACTTTAAAAGATACTGCTGACCGCAGAGATTCATTGTTGCGAGGGTTTGAATCGATTGATATTATCAAGAATGGGTTGATTACAATAGACGAAGCTAGAGAGCGTTTAGAGTTGTACAAGACGAGGCTAAATTCACCATATACTCTTGTGGATATTCCTTTTCATGCAACTGTAGAAGAATTATCAGCCAATCAGCCATATTTATTTCTTGCTATAATGTCAGTGACAAATACTGTATATACCAAGCCTATAGATAAAAATGTTGCACTATCAATTGATAATGCAGCCATACGAGCCATAGTATTGGAAGTTTTAGTAGCTGGCTCAAAGTCAGTTGAATTAATTAAAACTTTGTTGTTGCTATGCTTATGGTATAATACCCCAGAATTATTCAAAAACCGTCGTAACCACTTGTTAAATACCCTTTCAGTTTCTTTGTTGCACGATTTAGGAATTGTTGGACGCCCACTGACTGATTCTGATGATGATACTACAGCAATAACTGTGAATGACGAGCATTATTCAAAATCCGATTATCAACGTTTAATTATGACCTTATATTTCTCCACTGTTTGTATCTGTTTAACATTACGCAGAACGATATATGTCAAGTGGACACCGCTTGTTGAAGAATGTTGCTCAGTGCTAGAGAAAAGTCAAAGTCCCGGTGACGTCAGAATTGGCTTATTTCTGAGATTAAGTAACCAGTTGGAGAAAATATATATTCTTGTTCATCTGGTGGACTTTTCTGATAGAAAGCCCACATTTTCAAAATACATTATTAGAGATGTACAAAATAAATTGAACAATATTAAAGCCAAAATTCCTAAAGGCGAACATTCTTTCCTAGGTTATTATTATACTGTCGAGGCCTACCTTTATGAACCAATATTTGGTCAAATAATACCAGGTGACGTTCAAGATTTATCGGAGTTTGCCTTGAATACTGATTCAGTGAAAAACATTAACTATTGTACAACATCTTGTTTGAAGGCACTAGAGGAATTCAATAAGATGACGACGGATGATGTTGCGACGCTTCCATTATTTTATGCGTCGAGAATTATATATGTTGTTGGTATATTATTAAAATTAAGATACTTGGTTATATCAGTGCCCTCACTTCTGGATGACTTAGTTCCCCAAAGCCTAATTCTTACAATTCAAAGGTTAACTAATTTATTTGATCAATCCTCCACCTTACATCCTGTCAATCATATACTAAAGAAGACTAGATTAGTACTACAATTGTTCATTCAAGCATATGCAAGCCAAATTCAGGATTTGTATAAAAAAGAATCAGATAAACTGCAAAATGATAGGACTGATATTGAAAGGTTAAGTAAAATATTCAAGAGAAATGGTTCAGGACATCTTCTTAATGCCGAATCTAATGATTCTTATCAATCCCAAGTTCCATTAGATATCTTATCATATGCAGCATCATTTAGAAAAGGATTCCCCAATGATCAGAATATTCCTGATCATCGTCTAAGCCAGTCTGTACCACAAGCTCAAGGTCAATCATTAGCTAATCAGTTCCCGCATACGTACAGTTCTAGTGATTTGAACTCAAGTGATAGGATGAATAATATAAACTCTCAGTACAATCAAAATATAAATGCTAACCCAATTCCCCAGTCTGCTGTGAATAATTTGGGTTCTCTTCTTAATGACAATTCAATACGGACTAACGCGGGATTCAACCAGCCACCTAATGATATAAATATTGATAATTCTAACACCAATGACGCAAATATTAACACATCATCTGGTATGGTAAATCTGGATCAATTGGAGAATTTTTATGATGAATTTTGGTCTGATTTGATTAATACAGATTCAGATAAATTTAATTTTGGGAATTATTCGAACAACACCGCTCCCCTTTACGACGAAGTATTTTTCATGCCTTGAATCATAACTAGCGTCTTTTATTTATATATTTATATAAATTGTAATATATTTTACTTATAATAAGTGATATATTTGTCGTAAGACTAAATCGCGCTGATCTATAAAAGGAACTAAAAAATGGCTTTAGAGTGAACAATTTCACCTATGTTTAAGTGATGAAGAAGTCAACAAGAGGACTGAAATCTCAACAACATGATAATGTCAAATTTGGTATTATTGACATTCTTCAAATCATTGGCGGTTTAATCTTTTTAAATGCATTTTTATCATGGTGGTTTACTTCTACATCAACATGGGGGTATAAAGGGAAATGGATTGATTCAGAGTATTTGAAATTAAGAATCACTAATAACTATGTCAATTTAACTATTGATGAACTTTCCTTGTATAATGGATCAGATCCCAAATTGCCTGTCTATATAGGTATCAATGGTAAGGTCTATGATGTTAGTCGCTCAAGAGGTGTATACGGGCCTGAGGGAACATACGGATTTTTTAGTGGAAAAGATGCAGCCCGTGCATTTGTGACAGGATGTTTTAGTAAGCAAGATGAGTTCACCTATGACCTAAGAGGATTAGATCCAGATGAGGCCATGCATGATATTGAAAGTTGGCAAAGATTTTTTGAAACCAACTCTAAGTATTGGTATGTGGGCATTGTTCAACATGAAGATCTAGTGGGTGAACCACCATCTCCTTGTGATCATATGAAATTTCCGACATACTATAACCATTAGTGATGTACTATAACATTGTATATAAGCATTGAATAGATATTTATTTATAACTATCTATATGAATAATAACTTTTAGAGCTAGTGTTGCGCTTTTGCTTGTTCTAAACTCTTGTTCAAAACATTGAGCAAGTCAGACTCCTGCTCTAGTCCAACACTGATCCTGATCAAATTTCTATCAATATCCCATTTTGCTATCTCGTCTAACTCTTGGTAGTGGGCTAAAATAGCATATGGACAGGCCAAGGTGAAATTAGTACCTAAGGAAGGACCTTTGTGCAAATTAACTGCATTAAAAAAACATATGGCATCTTCCTGTTCTTTAAAAATAAAGGATATCAATCCCCCATATCCACCTTCAGGTGTTTTTATGGCGTCATAGTACTTCTTAGTGTCAGAAATCGATGGGTAATATACCTTTGAAATCAACGAATTCTGTTGCAATAAATCAACAGCTGCCAAAGTTGTTTTGTTGATTTTAGCCGATCTTTCAGCAAAATCACGAGAATTTCTTTCCAAATATAAAGCATCTTCTGCCCAGAATAAGTCTTCATACTCATCATCAAAATACTTCTTCAATTCAGGATACATTTTAGACTCAGGATTCAAGATCAACGATCCTGCCATTACATTAGAATCTCCCGAAAACACTTTAGTTAATGAAGAAGCAACAATATCTGCATATGGTAAAACGTGGATATTAACAAAGTTCCCAACAGTTTCATCTATCACTACGGCAAAATTATATTTGTCTGCCAACTCTCTAATCTTTTTTAAATTAGGAGTCTTCAATAATGGATTAGATGGGCATTCACAGAACAAGGCAGTGATTTTTATTTCTCCATTTTGCAATTGTGTTTCCATATCTTGTAACGACTCATCATCGCCAAAACCAAAGAAATGAACACCAGGACCAAACTTTTTTAAAATGTTTAAAGTGTCAACATACGGAAATCCGAAACAAACTGACTTATTTGGCGTTTCAGCTACTTGTAATAAAGCATGATGAGCATTGAAAATAGCAGCCATTCCTGATGGGTACAAATAGACATCAGTTTCACTAAGATGTTTACCACGTCTAGCTTTTTGCATTTCGTCCTCTTGACTATGAGACTTGTCAATCTTACCACAGATTCTTCTTCTCAATGCTACTTTAGCTTGTTCAGCGAATTTTAAATCTAAAACTCTACCGTATTTTTGTTCAATAAATGTGTTAAATTCTTTCTCTGTTTCTTCGTTTGAAGAAAAGCTAGGTGATTGTAAAGATTTGGAAAGCGAAGGGGATCTTTGCTGAATTCTTTGTGCTTGCAATTCTTGTTTCATATGACTTCCCTTATACGTACTAGGCTTTTTTTCCTTTTGAAATATTTCTCTTAATACATACTCACCCATTCTAGAACTAATACCTTCACCCGAATGTTGCCAATAATTCTTCGCCAATGGGAATTCACTAGCAGGGAAGAAAATAACACCTATATTTGACTCGATAATCAGAGATTTTTCCAGTTCATCTTCTGGCGGAGGCGTACTTAATTGTAAGATTCTTACTGATAAGTTGGTTTTATCACTTTTTGCTTTGACGAATTCCCTACATCTTTTAGCAACATTATACGATGGAAAAACCATACATCTTTCACCCTCTCTACCATATTTCGCTTCTATGTTCTTAGCCAAATCTTGTATAACTGAATGTATGAAAAATCTTGGATATCCAGAGTTCATTTTGTTAACAACCCAATCTTCACCTTCTTCATACCCTATTGTAGCCTCCCATGTTGGTAAAGTTACAGAAACAGCATGAGGTGTATTACTTGGGATAGGAGCTCCAATTTCTTGAGATGGACCGTCGTTACTCATGTTTGATAATGAAGTATATATATAGCATGTGCATGGAGTTGAAGATATTTTGATGAGATTCTTAATTTCGCGGAAATGAAGATCGTTGACTCACCGCTTTGAAAGATTCAAACAACGTAATGATTATAATATGTATTAAATTTTATCTATTAATAATGCAGAGAATTTTACAAAGAATATTGTTGCTAAACAAAGCAGACTTTAATTTTTTGGCATCAAATTAAGAATTATAGTAAATTTTTCTGTTTTAAGCCATTAGTTAGTAAATACTCAAGAACGAATACAATTAACCGATCCTTCTTTGAGACGGTTCAATTCCGCAGCATTTTTGGTATCGGATACTTGAGTATCTTTCCCGTTTGGTGTAGGTCCATTTGCAGGAGCAGGAGCAGCACCTTTACGGTTATGTTGCATATGAGATTGAACTAAATGACCAGCAGCCAAAGCAGAACAAAGCGAAAGTTCGGCAGCTAAAACTGCAGAAGCAACGATACGTGCTAATTGCCTAGCATTATCACCTGGATTAGTAGGATGAGGACCACGTACACCTAATAAATCTAACATCGCACCTTGAGGTTCCAATATGGTACCACCACCGATTGTACCAACCTCAATACAAGGCATAGAAACGGAAATTTGTAAATCACCACCCACATTCTTCATCAATGTAATACAATTCGAAGATTCAACATTTTGAGCAGGATCTTGTCCACAAGCTAAGAAGACGGCAGTAACCAAATTGGCTGCATGAGCATTAAAGCCACCAACCGATCCAGCCATAGCCGAACCAACTAAATTCTTACTAATATTTAATTCAACCAATGCGTCAACGTCAGATTTAAGAACTTTTTGAACAACAGATGCTGGGATTCTAGCTTCTGCAACAACTGACTTACCTCTACCTTCAATCCAATTGATAGCAGCTGGTTTCTTATCGGTACAGTAATTACCTGAAACAGAGATCACTTCCATATCACTCCAATCACATTCTTCTGTCATGTATTTAAGAGAATATTCAACACCTTTAGAGATCATATTCATACCCATGGCATCACCAGTAGTTGTTCTAAAACGAATGAAAAGTAATGTACCTGCTAATGCAGTCTGAATATGCTGCAAACGCGCAAATCTTGAAGTAGAATTGAAAGCCTTCTTGATAGTTTTTTGACCTTCTTCAGAATCTAACCATAATTTACAAGCACCGGCTCTAGACAACGAAGGAAAAGAGACACATGGACCTCTAGTCATACCATCTTGAGTTAACACGGATTCAACCCCGCCACCTGCGTTAATAGCTTTACAACCACGCATAGTAGATGCAACTAAACAACCTTCGGTGGTAGCCATTGGGATATGGTATGGTTTACCATCAATAATTAATGGACCTGCTACACCAACTGGTAATGGCAAATAACCGATAACATTCTCACAACATGCACCAAAAACTCTATCATAATCATAATGAGCATAAGGTAAACGCTTTGTATCTAAAACAGGAGCATTAGCTAATTTGGCAATAGCTTTACGACGAACAATAACAGCTCTAGTATTGTCAGCTAATTGTTTTTCCAAAGCATATAATGGCAATTTACCAGCGACAACCAAGGAAGAAATTTCATTATTATTCAATTCTTTAACCTTACCCTCTTTCATCACCTCAACACATTCATCTAGAGGCAAATTTTTAGAAGGAGCAGAAATCTCCAACCCTTCGTCACTTGAAGAATCTGACTCATCCAAATCAACAACGTTAGATTTTTTGTCAATTCCAGTGGCTGCTCCCTGTAACGCTTTCGATGGTGCAACAACAGAACTTCTTCTTCTATCTCTTCCGGATTTAGGTCTTGAAATTTCTTTCTCGATTAACTTGTTCGTTGCTGAAACTTGATAACGAGATGCGTTCAAGAAGTATGCATTTGTGGAAATTGAAATAGCAAATCCAAATAACAAACATTTTGAAATGAGACTATCTCTAATAGCATGACTGATATGCTCTAAACATAATAAAATGAAATCTTCGGATTGGACCAATAATCCTAACGGCATATAAACAGTAGGGGTCATTAATGTCACTACAGTACCATGTTGACCAATAGTAATATGCTTAGCGGTAGTTTTAGATAAATTTCTAGCATTCGAGAAAATACTAATAGAATCACCGCCTGTTGCATTGTACAACCAAGAACTACCCAACCAGAAAGCATGAAATCCAAAGAATCCTGCAATCATAGCAACTTTGAAAGAAACAATAGAAGTTTCTTGCGAGCTAAATATTGATGCTTCGTTAGGGTGTTCAATACTGGAAGATTGAGCGGCAACATTTTGAGCAATAATGGAGGAGATTCCATCTTCTTCCAAAGCATTTTTCAAGTACTCAGTACGGCGAGCTCTATTTATTTCAACTTTCAAGGCCAAAATAGCAGAAAAGAATGTGTACACTAACAACAAATCAAAGGCTAAGATAATTGAACTTAAAATACAGAAGTTCTTTAATCCTTCCAAATGTGGAGCATATATAGCACATGTAAGCAATGCGCCAATAACAACAATATGGTCTCTCAATAAACTGACGGTATGAGACGAAATAGCATTAGAAACAATACTTCTAACATCCTCGGGAGATGAGGAAGCTTTCAGAACTAAAGTTGCAATTGAAACCTTATGTTTAAAACCAATGATAGCCACTAAGAATGGGATACCCTCAGTAATACTTAACAAAGGAACTCTTGTATCTAAGACTTTAGTAGTTGTTACTAAGGCAAAAAGAAATGCAAAAGTAGAAGAAGTAATGGTTGAAAACGCCAACCAAAAGTTAGAACCAACTTGCTTCATGTCGTAAAACACCTTAATCAAAGTATACCACATAGCTATATAAGCTATTGCGATTAATCCAACGTCGAATTTTTCGGCACCTTGGATGGCCGATTTTATCTTAAGAAGACCACCACGAATATATTCATAATACTTTGTGATTCTGTTAGCATGTCTAGCCTTCCAGGTCATCCCATTGTACGTGATTTTATCCATTGATTTTAATGTGCTTTCTAATTCGTCCGTCTTTGTAACTAAAATACGCTCGTTGTTGTTACTGCCGCTGAAGGTATTTTCAATCAGAGGAATTTGTTGGTTATGCACCCGTTTAAATCTCAATGGTGCAACAGAAAACCTTTCAGCATTTGGATACCCGTTTGGATCGTCGATTTGCATCCAGTTTTTGTAGTCTGAAGTCCCTGGTGGATGATAGTAACTTATCGAATAGTCAAACTCGAAATTTTCTGGAACATACTCATTGACCACTGAAAGATAAGCTATTGACGCTAATAATGCTGTCACGATAATGATGTGAATCGGACGATGAGCCGATATACTCGCTAAAGTGCTCGTTGTATTACTTATTAACTTTGGCATTGCTTATTGAAAATTGCTAAATAATTGTTAGTTTTACGTTCTTTTGAAACTATTTAAAATTCTTCTCAGTCTGAAAATGGTGCAACATAAACTTATTCCATTTTTCTTCAAACCCCTTCGTATTTAAACATACCTTCCTCAATGCCTTTCAGTTTATTAGTAAAAGCTACGTTTATATCCAAAATTTAGTCAGCGAGAGCGTCTAAAATTTTATACGACAGTTTTTTTTTGTTACAAAAGAACGCGTTCCGCCAGGAACGACGAGGTTAAGTCGATGAGCTTTTAAGTTTATTAAACAAAATTATATATATAAATGACAGTAAAGAAGCTAAATTAATGTAACTTGTAGATCTATTTGATAGAAACTAACTTGATGTCGAAAGTCAATTCAGAGTTAGCTGGAATACCTGGCAAAGCTTGGCTACCGTAACCCATCTTTGCTGGAATAACAACTCTTCTTTCACCACCAACAGCCATACCAGCAACACCTAAATCAAATCCCTTGATACATTCACCCTTGCCTAATCCAAAGATGAATGGTTTACCGGAGGTGTTCTTGTCGAAAACCTTACCATTTTTCAATTTACCAATGTATCTGATACCAACCTTGTTACCGGATTTGGCAGTTTGGCCCTTACCAGCCTTTCTGTCTTCAGTGATAACACCGCCTAATAAGGTCTTGGTTGGGAATTTCTTGGAAGCTTCTTCTTTCTTTGGCTCTTGCTTCTTTGGTTCTTCTTTCTTAGATTTTTCTTTCTTACCCTTCTTGTCAGCCTTTTCTTCAACTAAGGTAGAACCAGTTGGACCTTGTTCTAATTCCTTGGTGAATTGAACAGACTTTTTGTCTTCCTTCTTAGCCTTCTTTGACTTCTTTGAGGTTGGAGCTTCAGGTTCTTCAGCGTTTCTCTTCTTGGAACCTTGAGCCTCTTCTTCGACTAATTCTTCAATCTTATTTTCGATGTCAGAAGCATCTTCTAAGTCGTCTAAGTCGTATTCTTCACCATCAATGATTTCATCTTCATCTGGAGTCAAGTTGTATTCATCGTCGCTGTCTTCATCGTATTCATCTTCAGAATCTTCGTCAGCTGGGTGTTCAACGTAGTTACCAGTCAAGTGGACAGGGTAAGAACCGGTGACAACAAAGTAGACTTCTTCATCTGGGGTGATAGTAAGGTCAATGGTTTGTTGGAATTGAACCTTTGGAGATAAAGTACAAACAACAAATTCAGAAACATCTTCATCATCTTCCTCGTCAGATGATCCGTCAATGTCAAGGTCTTCTTCGTCTTCATCTTCTTCTTCTTCTTCTTCGACCTTCTTCTTGTTTTGCTTCTTCTTGTTCTTTGGCTTGACTTCTTCCTCTTCTTCAGAATCTAATTCGTCAGCTTCTTCAGCTTCAATATCAAGCAATTCATCTTCAAGATCTTCGTCATCAACAAACAAGTTGGATCTTTTTAATAATCTCAAGGTAGATGGTTCTTCCTTATCATCAACAGCTTCTGGGTCAACAGCAGCTAAAGTTAATCTGATGGTAACTGGATATTCGTCATCAATAGCTTGAACCGGGTTGAATGGTTGAAGAGCTAAGTTATAAGTGGAGATTGGGATTAAACTAGACATTATTATTCTATTAACAAGTTATACCTAGTGTATGCTTTCGTATTATTTTAAACCAGGTTAGCCTTATATATATTTATAGCGAGATGAGGTATAGAAATTTTTTTTTCAACCAGTACTGCACGTGCATGGACCTTAGTACTAAAGACATACCCAAGATATGCCTTAGATAGATGGCTACAATATGGTAATTAACGTTCAAAAACTGTATTAAATATACAAATAGAAAAATTTACACCACTATAACTTCATAACTATAACAATTGATATTAAAAGTAATTAAAATTCAATTTAGAACTTTAATAAATGTGGTTTGTCACCGCTCTTTAAGGAGAAAGAAGCAGATAAGTATTGCTTTAATAATGGAGTTTTCTTGATTTCAGATAATAAAGAGGCATCGACGGACTTTTGGTCAGCAACTCTTTCAGCCTTGATTTCTTTCTTTGGTTGAGCTTCGTTGAAGAAATCAGCTTCAGACTTCTTAGATCTTGGAACCTTTTCTCTAGCGAAGTATTCAACGTTGAACTTGGAAACATCAACACCTTCAACGTTAACCTTGGTGGAGGTGGCAATGACGTAACGAGAGTTAACTCTTCTTAATGGAACACCGTTGACCTTGAATGGACCGGAAACTAATAAGGTGTTGTCTTCTAAGTTCTTTAAGTAGACAACTCTCTTACCTCTGAATCTACCGGCCAACAAAATCAAGACGGTACCTGGAACTAACGAGGCACGTAACTTTTGTGGACGAGAAGTCTTTCTGGTTTGTCTTGCGACTGGAGCGTCTTCAGATTGGTACCACTTTGGAGCCTATAATGAGTTAGTAAAATATCCTTATATTGCACAATCGAGTGTATGATCATCATGAGGTATTCATGGGTATCTGGCAGTGTTGGTGGTATTCAGCCACCACTTATGTCCAAATTCTACATTATGACCCATTTTCAACTTTTGGTCTTAGTTCCTTTATCCTTCATTCGATGGGTGTCCGACTTCGCTTATGTGGTCTCGTTCCTCCCACATGTCGCTGTCTGATATCTCTTTATCATAGAGTCTTCGTATGGCTATATTTTCATGATTGAAAAATTTTTCGGCCATCGCTATTCGAACATCCCACTTGCCAATACCCATGTACTTTCATGTTCCATTCACACACTGCATCGTGTATCGTTTTAAATCAGTTATAACATACAATTTGGCTCATTTTGATCTAGTTTTGGTGATAATTATAAATCAATAGTACTTTAAAATTTTAGGTGTTTTTTTCGAATAGCTATTTTTCACACTGGTAGCACTATGAGCCAACCTCGAGCAAGGTGACACAAAACAACTTTTTTCACTCACAAGCTTTCGCATACCTATATTACATAATCTTCTTGCATATGCTTATAAATCAAATCACCCAAATAGCCCGCCCACTGGGTGAGTACGTGTTTGAACCGATGTTCAGGCGGTTGGGGTGAGATGTATCATGTGACTTTTAAAAAAGCAGTCACATTGCACCTGATCTTGGTGGATGGACTTGGGGCGTCTGTGGGGGCGGGGAATATGGCTGCAAAGCGACATACGTCCCGCCCACATAAGGTATAAAGTTACCAGGAAACATAGCTTGGTCGTAATGCAAGCCCTTGATATAAGGTTTATATTATTACGGTTCGAGGTAATACGGGAAAGTGCTAGGGCGTCGGTTAAAAGATAGCCGGATCCGGCTCTACAAGAATATTCATTGATTGCCAGTCTAAAGTTAAAACAAAAGCGTCATATTAACTAGAGCGTAAATAATACAATAAGGGCATTGAATGATACAATAACAACATATAAAACAGAAAGAAAAATAAATAGCAAACATATCTGCATGTCTAAATACCAGTGTCAAGATAGGTGATATTTACTACCAAGGTACCTTGGCCAGTTTGGAAAACGAAATCGTCGGTCCTGTTCAAGGCTTCTGCCAATGGAAGTCTTGCTGAAGCCAACTCAACCTTCTTTCCGAATTTGTGTGGTTCCCTCACAAGGAAAATCAACTCATTGGAGGAAGCCGATCTGAAAGGAATAGATTCGTTCCATCTGTATTCGTCCTCGTGCAACTTGGCACCACGGGTTCTGAATAAAGTTCTGTCTTTGGTAGCAGTCTTTAAGATAGTCTTAACTTCAAGAACGGGACTTGAGAAGCCGGTTGCACCCACAATAGCAATTCTACCAGGTAAGGTGTCTGGTGCATTCATGCTGTTAACAACACTGCTTGCATCCGACTCATTGGTGAAGATTGCGGAAGAACCAAAGTTAGGTTTTTGTAATGGTGGGAGTGATTGGGCATGGATATTAGGAGCAGCATGGACTTCGCCTTTAGGTTCGTCAACCTTGATGTTTTCTGCCATCTTATCGGCCTTTTCATCTTTCTTTGGATCACCTGTCTCTCCTGGGCGAGCTGCTCCTTCTTCTTCTTCTTCTTCTTCTTCCCTTTCGCCTTGTTCTTCTCCTTCACGTTCGGCACCTTCTTCGCTCTCTTGTGATTGACTTTGGCCCTCTCCACTTCTACCAGTTATACCTGTGTGGCCTGTTCTTCCACTTATATGGGAAGCAGTTTCATCAAATTCATTACCAGTTTGCGCTCCACCTTCTTCATCCAATGAGTGCTTCTTTTTCAGTCTACCAAATCCCTTGATAAAGGCTCCACCTTTACCTACACCCTTACCAAGACCCTTACCAACCCCTCCAACACCACTAGCTGCGGCACCAACACCATCAGCAGCTAAACCAACACCACCGCCAACTGCTTTCAAAGGTACGTTCGCAACGGAGCTCAAATCAAGTGGTAATCCACTTTCGGAATCAAGTGTTGGTCTGAGATACTCTGGTCTAAATGTTCCCCTCAAGTTCAAAATACCTTGAGTATCAAAATTGACAGTAAATTGGGTAGATTTCAAAGGTTCTATCGTAGACATATCTAAGTTAACTCTACCTAATAAATCAGGCTTATGTGTTAAATCCCAATCATAAGCTTCCAATAGAACAATTTGTCTAGATCTCGACATTAATGGAATATCAACCGTTTCATTCCAAACTGGATCTAAAGTCTTTCTCTTCTTATCAGTCTTGTAGATTTCAACACCATCAAGTTTAACAGATAAGAATGGATCTGATTTACCGTTTGAATCAACTGATTTCAAGCCTTCGGCACTTAAAATATCCAATTTGAATTTACCAACATCTAAGATAGTATCAAATGGTGCTAACTTAACAGCTGATGGAATATATTCTAATTGAACTCTAATAGTATTCTTTTCGTTAATCTTCAACTCAATTGGATTGTCATACGCCTTCTTTAAAATCTCAAGGGTGTCAAAGGTTTTTTCATGAACAATATCCTTTTCCTTGTCGACTTCAAACTTTTTAGCAAGCCTAAAGATAAGCTTAGAATTTGGCAAATCTCTAATAAATGCTTCACATTTAGTTTTAACGTCCAACTTTCTACCTTCAGTCTTTGTTGTAACAGCTGATGGATAAGCATGATCATCAAATAGAACATGAACATAATAATCTGGTTTATTGAATTTGCCCCCTTCGATATAAACGTTGATATTACCTGTTCTATATTTAATTGCTCTTTCCAATGGCATGTGGATTCTTTCAACTTCTGGCAATTCGTCATCGTCAACGTCCACCCATTGATACTCATCTGGATGTTCTTTGAATTTCTTTTCGTCTTTTCTTCTTTGTTCGGCTTCATCAGCTTCCTTCTTCTTCAAATGTTCTAAGTATTTATCCTTATTATTTATTTGAGAAAGTGTGTAAACAGGAATAGTTGGAACAAAGGATACTGAGTACGAAAAGGTACCATGATGTTGACCATTGAGTAAGATGGGTTGCTCAATAATTTCATTCGAACCATCATATCCCAAGTAATACCCTTCATCATTTTTCTTCAAAAATTCGTTTACATGAACTGCACAAGTGCCTAGACTTCTATCTTTCTGGTCTGCTTCTTCATCCATAACTTCTAGTAAGATATGTTGATGATCATTGGCGATAGGAACAAAACAAACATGGTTAAATGCTGGGTCTAACGTATCGTCAATCGTAAGAGTTTTACCTCTGATGTTACCGTTCATCATAATTCTAACATAAGGATCAACTTTTCCAACAGCTTCTAAATTCTTAAGACCAGTGGCTGAACGCAAGTGAATTCTGAGACCACCAATAGAAGCATTGAAATGAGTATCTACATTTTCGTCAGTCATACCTAATGCCTTCCAGGTGGCAGTAATTCTAACCTTACTTGGAGGTGCACCAGGTCTAACAGGGGCACATTGGATCCATTCTTGACCTCTTGAACTCTCAAATATCAAGTCCTGCAAGTTAGCTTCCAATTGACCGACAACTGCATCTTCCACAGAATCTTTAATAAGGACTGTAACAGTGGTTTCAGATTGTTGCGTAATCAAAGACTCGATAGTCTGATCCCATGATGGTTCATTACTCTGTCTAAGCCTACGACAACTCTTGACCAATTCGTGGTTGATATACATTTCAGCATATGGGTTTAATATACCAACAACTGATTGAGTGATATCCAAGTCCTTAGCCTCATGTAAGGTTAATTTGATGATTCCAACTTCTGATTCACTAATCTCTTTCTTGGTACCGTCTTCCAACACCATTGGTTCTAAGATTGGGAAGTACTTAAGATCATATTCAATTTTACCAACAACTTTACCACCCTCCATGATATTCTTCGTAACATCATTAAAGGTATCTTTTTGCAATAAATCAGCCAATGGAATTTGAACATTACCAATTAACTTATCATCTTGTTCATCCTCGATCAAATTGAAAACGTTAAAGTTCAAGAAATTATTTTCTAACTGGTTCAATAATAAATACTTAGTTTCCAAAAATACTGGAGATGAAATCAGTTTCTTAACACTTGTCCTCTCGTCGATATCAGCGTTACATGCTACTGTCATTTGTACATAAGGATGAAGATCCTTCGCTTTTTCAAGAGGCTTCAAGTTAGTGCAACGCTTAACAGTAATTGAAAGACAACCAATTGCTCCTAAAGACAGTTGAGCCAACAATTCTTCAACATCAATATCCAAAGAATTAGGAGCATATAACATAGGTCTCAAATTGGCATGGATCAAACCGTTAACAAAAGAAGCCAACCCAGGAATAAGAGACATAATATCAAGTCCAAAGGTATCACCACCAACAGGCTTCAATACATAATCAATGGCAGGTGCTTCTAAGAACTGAACAGAAACCATTTTAACATGAGGAAAGTTATGGTTCAATTTCAATTTAATATTCATACGTCCCTTGAACGACATGTCTTCTACTAAAATTGGTAAAGATTTACTGATGAATGCTTTACCCACTCTGACACCTAAAGCAACCTTTGGGTTAATTTTTCTTTTAATTTCATTCTTAGTCATATCATCCGTATCATTTGGCGCAAATGAAAATGCCCAGTCCATTTCAATATGATCATGACCCTTTCTAGTATACGATTTGATACTATCTACTCTTGGTGCTTTGGAACCAAGAGTGAACTCATCTAACGATAAGGCTTCAATACCAAATCCAGGTGCTTGATCTTTCAAAACTTCGTTAGCTTGGTACATAACTTGTTCTGATAATGCTGGCATATAAATAACCCAAAACTTATCCAAAAACGAATTTAACCATTCCATAGTTTCCAATTCATTTTCTAACCTATTGCTAGCAGTAATTCTAGTCATGTCATCTCTTATGTCTCTATTGAATCTTCTAAATTCAGCCCTGTAGACAGAATTTGTAAACAACAAAATGAACCCTAATGATAAAATACCTCCTCCAAGCCTGGCTATCAACCAGCAGAAGAAACATGTACCAATCATTAAAGAACAATTCCAGTACCAATCTCCATAAAAGTGATCTACAACATAATTCTCAATCGACTTCATAATTTGCAAGGCTTTCGCCTTGTCATCGACCGATCTGCTTTCCCAAGGACCAACGTTCTCCCACGAAAACGTCGTTTCTTCACGAATACTGACTTTTTCTGGCGGAGGAGGTTTCTTGATCCCAGCATTGTCTGACCCCTCCAACGGGGCACTTCTTACATTCAAATTCTCATTCACTCTTCTATTGCGTTCGTCGATATCTTCCTTGTTAGGACGACGAGGATCGACATCTTGCGGTGATTTTTGCTATACGAGTTAGTACTTTTGGTCTTGTTATAATTCAATCACAATTGGTCGAAAAATCAATAAATCTTCCTTCTGCTCCTCGTTGAGTAAACGTATCCAGCTACCAAATTTATATTATTTCAAGCCCATCAATTGCCCCACCAAATCCTACTTACTATCCCCATAGTGTTGATATATTATATTTCCACTAAAGATAATAACAAATTAATCAATTGAATAAAAATTATAAAATAGTTCTTTAATTTCACTTGTTTTTTCTGGCGTCAACCGTATAATAGTAGGAGCAAATTCGAAATTCAGGAACAAACAATGCAATTCTTCGTTGCGTTTGATTGCGATTTTTTTTAATAGCCTCTCTCACGTGTACAAACAAGTGATTGTCTTCTGAATATTGTAATTTGACTATTATACTTATTAAAGTACAATATGTTGGTTGCATGTCTTGTGGTTCAAGGTGGTGGTGGTGCAACAGTGTTTTGAGCTTGAAAAGGGTGTATTTTTGAAGTGTAATCAATAAGCAGAATATTTTGCAATAATTTCTCAATTTTGACATATATAGCAAAGAAACGTAATGATATATAAATACAGCTTTTAGAGTTGAAGTTGAAGAAGAATGTATGAGTAGGAATTGAGAGCACATTGATGAATCAAGAGAGAAGAATTGATTATATATCGTGTTTATCCACTATATCCTCGAAGTGTCTCCTTTAGAAGGTTCACCATTTCTCTTCAAATGCCTTTTATGTTTCCCTTTACACCAATAGTTTCGTGTACGTATATTCATCCACTGGTATTTCCCCTGTATTTTTGATATGCTTCTTCAAAAGGATGTGGAGCGTTGGCTCTAATACCAACCAACCTCCAAGACTGACACCGAAAATAATTTCGCAGTAATCAACTTAGTGTTTCTCCCCAATTTTTGTCTTTATTTCCTGCTCTTTACGGACATATAAACAATCCGAATTGGTGCTATATGTTAAACCATTTAAAAGTATGATAATAGTTTGTTAAACATCAACGTCTGTTTTTGATTGAAAATCAGCTATTGGGACAATTTATGGCACAGGTGCATTAAATGCGTGGGTAATTTTCGAAGAGCACTTGAAGGGACACCCATAAGGGTTTATTTGAAGAGTATGACGGGGAAAAGAAGGGATTCAAACGAGTCCGATAGATACTACATCGAACTTGATTGTTAAGTTGAAAGATAAAGCTGCAAAATGCTCTATACAATGAATCGCATTGCAGGGCCATGAGCTCATAGGTGCACGGCCCACCAAAAGCTACTAGTTGTGACGAGGCACTACACAGGGCAGAACTATACTTCAAGGACACATTTACTACAATCGACATAACGAAATGTAATGTTATTAAATGAAATACTTAAAACCTTTATTTAATAGAAAAGTAGACTACGATTCACAATTCAATTTAAACAGTTTCTAAGACAACATCCTTGAAACCAGCGGAGACTTTTTTGCCCTTTTCTTCAGTAGAACCTTCACCGTGTAAGGCTAATAAGGAACCTAAATCGAATTTTGGTTGTTTCAATAATTTAACCTTTCTAATGTGAATGTTTTGTAATGGTAAGATGGTTTGGGTAGATTTTTCAATTTCACGGCCAATGACTTCTGGAATCAACTTGGAGGTTAATTGAGCTAAGGTACAGTTGGAAACTTCTCTTTGCATGATTTCAATCATCTTCTTTCTAACTTCTCTCAACTTAGAGGTTTGGGCGTAAGTGGTCTTCTTGATTTGGTTGGCTTGTCTCTTGGTGAAGGCAATAGCGAAAACTCTCAAGACGTAATCATCGGAAGTCTTAACGGTAACGTTAGCTTCGACCAATGATTGCCATTTTCTAACCAACGATCTCAATTTGTCGGTGGTGAAGTCAATACCGTGGAAGTTGGTCAACAAGTTCTTACCTTGGACTTCGTCAACTCTCAACTTGACTTTTCTGGAAGAGTGGTCTTCAGAACCTTGTAAATCAGCTAAGCACACTTCGACAACACGGCCCTTTAATCCATCAGCAGCATTCTTTAAACCAGTGGATCTGTTAATTAAAGTCTTACCGACGGCTCTGTTTTCAAAGGTGGATGGGGCCTTGATGTCAAACCATTCCTTCTTGGTGAAAGGGTCGACGACCTTCTTCTTCAATCCCTTCTTACCCTTGGACAATCTCTTATTCTTACCAACAGCCATACTTGTAGTTTAGGTATAATACTAATTATAAGAATTAATTAATATCTTTGGAAGTTTTTTTTTCACGATATTTTTATCCAACTCTCACGGGTACTAACTAAGGAATTTTTTTTTCACCGACGAAACCTGAGCGGATTTGCAAGTTACAGTATTCGTATGGGTGTATGGATTCATCGTCCGAGTTGGGCGCGCATCTACCCGGTATCGTTTACAGGTTAGCTTGGGACCAATAAACTACTGTGACTGCTTTTTATACACCACGTGTATAATAGGGTACAAGACCGCGTCGGTGACAATTCCCCTTTTCGCCAACTGGGGGGACCCTCTCCCACTCTGCCATTAATTAACGGGTCAAGACTAATTGTCCCGATTAGGAAGTAGGTGTTCACGTGAGTTTTAGGAAAATTGGAATCAAATGCAAACAAAGCGAATCAAAGATGCTTTTTGAGAGACGTTCCAGATAGAATACGTAATTGTGTAGCAAATAAGGACGTAATAGGAGTACAGAGAATGGAAGAACAACAAGAAGACCATAATAACCAGTATGTGATGAAATTTGGGAAAGTTTGGAGGCCTATGTGGATGCAGGACGCAAGCAGAACGTAAGGAACAAATACTAACACGAGTAGGGTGGCACTTAAAATAGGACTCATAGGAGACTCGCAGATCGGTAAGACGTCGTTGATGGTGAAATACGTCGAGGGATCGTTTGACGAAGATTATATCCAGACGCTTGGGGTGAATTTTATGGACAAAAAGATACAAATCCGCAATACGGTGATAACGTTTTCGATATGGGATTTGGGGGGACAGAAGGAGTTCATCAATATGCTTCCGTTGGTGTCGAATGACGCGGTGGCGATACTATTTATGTTTGATCTCACACGCAAGTCGACATTGAACTCGATAAAGGAATGGTACAGACAGGTGAGAGGGTTCAATAAGACAGCGATTCCGTTTTTGGTGGGGACCAAGTACGACCAATTCATAGATTTGCCATATCAGGATCAAATGGAGATCACGCAGCAGGCCAAGAAGTTCGGCCACGCCATGAAGGCTCCTGTCATATTTTGTTCTACAAGCCACTCGATAAACGTTCAGAAAATATTCAAAATCATCTTATCTAAAGCGTTTGATTTGAGATTGAATTTGGACGAAATCGTTAACGTTGGCGAACCCATCCTCCTATATAAATAGACATCTTATTCTCTGAACCTATTGCATCTGCTATTAATGTATGATTTTAATGATAGAAATCTCTCTGCTGTAGATAAACGGACGAGAACTATATACAGGACGCGATATACCTCTTTGAAGAATGATTTAGTTACTACATGATCTACGGTACGAATTCAATCGTGTAGAATATAATATACTGCAATGGCAAAGAGCCAAAGAGATCTAAAAGGATGGCAATACTTCTTGGATGATGCGGAGTTAAATAAAAGCGAAAATGTGAACGGAGAGCCAACAACGCCGTCTCGAAGAAGTCGAAGAGGTAAATCTACGAGTAGTCAAAAGATATCGTTGAAAAGAGACGAAGACGAATTGGAAATTCGGGAAGGGGATTTTTGCTTGTTCAACAAGATAATAATTCCCCGGAGGTTGCAATTGTTAAAGAGATTAAATTTGGTAATGATAATTTTCTAGACATTATTGTTTCGTGGTTCATAAGAATGAGAGATATCGAGGATGCAGACTTACCTAAGATCGAAGAATACAAAGAAAGGTCTAATCTTAACGAAACTGAACTTTTTATAACGTCGTATTTGGATGAGGTTAAGTTGAATGAAATAATAACTAAAGTTAACATATTATCAGAGGAGGAATTCAAAAATGATATTGTAATTGATGATTCCAATAAAGCAAATACCTTTGTATGTCGAAGAGGATGTGATTCAGCGGGTGAATTGTTTACTGATGTGTTTGATTTCAGGGATCTTTGTGTTTTATTCGAAAAAAACCACAATGAATTTATTGAATTTATCCGACGTAAAACCGTACCCGTCGCCTACAATACAAGTAAGACACATGATAAGCCAAAATCGATTAAAGAAAAGCTTGATGAAGTTGAAACAAAAAAACCTAAAAAAAAGCCCGTATCCAAGCAAATAATCGAAGAAGACGAGGTAGATAATGATAGCTCTGATGAATTTGAATCGGCGTTAGACTTACAGGATGAACCCTCAAGCGAGGAACTTGAATCTGATGAAGAGATAACTGAGTCTAGAAATTCAAGCCCTACTAAAAGAAAAACAAGCGTAAAACAAAAGGAGACAAAGGAGAAACGAAAACGTTCAAAAACACCAAATAGCCATTCTAAATTTGATGATGAATCAAGGCAATTTATCACATCTGTGGTAAGCCCTTTAAATAAAAGAATGAAAATTAAAGATTCGTCCAAGCCATCTATTCTAGCATTATCTCCAAGAAAGGCAAAGAAAGGAGTTTCTAATGACGAGTACAGCAAAGGTGGGACGTTGGGAGTAGATGCATCATCAGAAGCATTCAAAGAAGTGAAAGCAAAGTTGCATACTTCCACAAGGCTATCTTCATTACCATGCCGTGAGGATGAATTTACATCAATTTATCTTAACCTAGAAACTGCTATACAAGAACAAACTGGTTGTTGTTTATATGTAAGCGGGACTCCAGGTGTAGGGAAAACCGCCACAGTAAGAGAAGTGATTGCACAATTAAGAGAATTGACTGAGATGAATGAATTGAATGATTTTGATTACCTTGAAATAAATGGGTTAAAATTACTTTCACCAAATGTAGCTTATGAAAAATTGTGGGAAAAAATTAGTGGTTTGAAGGTAACGGCATCTAATGCTGCGTTGCTCCTAGAAAGCTATTTTAGTCAAGATACGCCACGCAAGCCTTTGATTGTACTTATGGATGAACTAGATCAAATTGTAACTAAAAAGCAGAATGTCATGTATAATTTTTTCAATTGGCCAACTTATTCTAATTCGAAGTTGATTGTTATTGCGGTTGCAAACACAATGGATTTGCCTGAACGTGTGCTATCTAATAAAATCTCCTCGAGATTGGGGTTGAGAAGAATCCAATTTATTGGGTATACTTTTGAACAGTTAGGTTCAATTATAAAGCATAGACTAGATATGCTTACGAAGCAAAATAAAAGAAAGGTTATTATCAATAGCGATGCTATTGGATTTGCATCCAGAAAGGTGGCCAGTGTTAGTGGAGATGCAAGAAGGGCTTTGACTATTTGCCGTAGAGCTGTTGAGATTGCCGAGAAGGAGTTCGTGTCTAGTAAAGAAGACCCTAGAAATGAAGAAGAAATAGAAAATGAATCATATCACGTACAAATTTCGCATATTTCTAAAGCCATCAATGAAACGGTCAACAGTCCCATTTCGCAATTTCTAATGACTTTGCCATTTGCATCAAAGCTAGTTCTTGCAGGTGTATTACTTAGAATGAAGCGTTCCGGCTTAGCTGAAAATTCATTGGGTGATATTATAGATGAGATGAAGAATTCGCTAACAATGCTTACTTCGAGAGATGGTGACAAGGCATTAGAAGCAATAGATTCTAAGATGACACTTATAGATTTACTATATGGAAATGGTCTTCTCCAATTACCTGATTCAGACTTTAATCTGAAAGATACGAATATTAGAATCCTCAGGTTTAAATACGTTGTTAATGAGTTAGTTGAAAATGGTATTCTTCAACAAAATGTCAGAGGCGAAAGACATAGTCTTATTAATTTGAATATTTCTGAGGAAGAAGTTGTGTCTGTATTGAAACGAGACAAGGAAATAAGTAGTATACTCTGAACAATATTTATAGTAAATAGACAGAAATATAGAACATCGCAGCTTCTTATCGATGTCGCATCGAATACAAAAAAAAAAATTGAAATTTTCAGTTATCTCTAGCTTACAATAACTGCTTCGAAAAATGACTCTGATAGACCCTACTGACTTTATTGAAGCTGAAGAAGGAGTGAACTCCTTAAGATTTGAAGATGAAAAGCAGCAAGCGAAGTTTGAACTTGGTGTTTGTATGTGCGTTTATAAATGGGATGAGCTAAACACTGCAGTTACAAATTCCTGGGGTGGACCAAATTCCGCCGATAAGAGAGACTGGATTTCTGGTATAGTGATAGATTTATTCAATGAGAGAATAGTTGATGTTCAATTGATCGAAGAAACTTTATTGTATGCTATGGTTGACGAGTTTGACACCGAAGTTGACAATGAATCTGCGCTTGTTATTGCAGACATGATTGTGAAGATGTATAGAGAAGTCTATATTAAGAAATACGATGTTATAGACGAGCTTTACTTAAAATGGCAACAAAAGCAACTGTCAGGTCAAGGTCAACAAGAAAAAGTTGTTATTAATGAAGACCCTAATAACCCAGATGTTTCGGATAGTGAAGATGAAGATGAAGACGAGCAACCAGCTTTGGTGCAACCTAATGATTCTATGGATCTAGATGAACCACAGGCCCCAATAGTTGACGATGATGGTTTTGAATTGGTGCAAAAGAAAGGACGTAAAGGAGGTAGAAGGTAAATACAAGTTTTCTTAAGTCTATATATAACCTATATAAAGTAAAAATATAAGTTAAATCTATAATATAATACACAAACGAATTAAATAATTGAAAAGAGTAGAACTCTTACATGCAGACAGAGTTCCTAGGGGTATTTGTTCTTGACCTGTTTAGCGTGTTTAAAGAATGCAATGAAGTAACCGAATTTCTGGGGACATACTTACCGAAGTATGCTTCTTGTTCATCAATGGGAGTGTTTATAATTGAGTTGGTGGAATGCATTGAAGATATACTTGAGGAACTATTGTTTCGTATACGGAAATCACTGAATTTTCTTGCTAGAGTATTAGCCATGTCATTTACACCAGCAGGGGTACCAGGAGAAGCCATAATGCTATTGACTGCTTTTGTATTAGCTGACCCAAAAAATCCCTCATTGGCGATGGGTTCAATTTTAAACAATTTGATAGATGTGTAAGCCCATGGGTTAGTATTGGTGAGGGCACTTTCAACCCAATTTGAAACCACATCAGATTCGTTAGATACGCTACCTGTCCCTGGTGCTTGCTTGTTCAAACCAGTCCAGCCTGAAGTAAACTTACTAAAGGAGACTAACGTTGACGAAAAATTCTTCATGATTTTATTCCTATTTCCGGTAAATAGCTTGACGTTCTCTCCAGCATTATATATATTACCAAATAAAAGTGACATGTACCAGCCTAAAGAGAGGTGGCTCCAATTAAATTTCAAGGGTTCTAATGGAGTTGTAGGTAAAAAATCATAATTCAATTGCCCTTTGTTCTCCTGAATTAATTTATCGAAATCAGTTGATTCGATGTACTTGACTAACAAAAAACTGTCGATGCTAGGACCTTCTCTACTGGACCAAATCTCTTTCAAGGCTAGCTTCAAATGAGGAATAATTATAGTTAATATTATTCTCAAAGAATCATTCCCACCCCAAGATCTTTTCAAGGGCGATTCTTTCGGTAATTTGTCCCTCGCTTTCTGAGACATACCTGTCGGTGGTTTGGGTCTCAATGCAGAATCAATCGCTTGTGATTCATCTTCAAAGAAATTAAGATCCAACTCGGGAGTCAGTGGCGGTATATGTCCATTTGCAATTGAATCATGCCTCGACTTTGGACTTGTAAAACTATTCATAAAAATTGATTCATTCGCATCTGATTCTATAGAAGAATTAATTGATACTTGATCAGATCTATTGGAATCAATTTGTTGCAACGGACTAATGTTCTCATCTTCATTATCTTCTATAGAGTTCAACACAAGTGTTTCCCCATTGAAGTATTCCGTACTGAAACTATAAATTGTGCTCCAAACTTGGTCATATACTTTTTCATTCTTCAACATTGAAAACAAAAGCATTCTTGATGGTTTTGGGTATTTAATTATGGCTGTGCATACAGATCGGAATATTAATGCAAGCAAATCAGCATTGAATGAAGCTTCTAGTAAAAACAGACGATTAGAGAATTTTAAGATCAATTGTGTGACAGAAGAACATGCAGCGTATGAAAGACCACCTCTAGGGTTATTATTACCTAATTTCTTCTCTGGATCATCCTTCATTTCTATGTCCTTGCTAGAAACCACTGGAATTAAGTTATATAAAATTTCTACCAATGTAGTCAATAGCAAGTTTGGTCCATTCCTTGTATTGTTTGTGCTGTTGCTTACTGACGTTATAGTAATCAATAACTTGCATATTTGAGTAACGATGAAATCTCTATAAGTCACTGGCCCCGGACTGGTTTTAAACGTATTAGGTAAAGATTCATAAAATGTAGGATCCATCTGTTCGAACAATTTATCCATGATTTTGTAGTCTGAGGACAAGTACAAAATGAAATATGAAAATATTCTAACTGAATTTTTATGATTGACATTCTTATGATAAGTGCATACGTAGTACAACAATATTACTAGTAATTCATGTAAGTACCTTTCTCCGACTAAAATTCTGAACGATTTGTTACATTGAAATAATTCCCATAACAACATTGTACACTCAGTAGCCCATATTGATATTTGATTTTGTCTGCCTGTATTCAAATTAAATTTTAAACTTTCAGACTCCTTGGAGCTTTGCATTGGTGCTCTTAAAACATTGATTAAATATGTTGCCAAATATAATAGTTCGTTTTCTTTACGCAACTTTCCAATATAGACTCTTGCCATATTAAATGGCTTAGCCGTAGTAAGAAGGTTAAGATCATATAAAAATTGCAAGTTTTGCTGAGGGGGTAATGGGTAGACAATCATTAGTGTCAATAACTGGGCTGCATATGTAACACATAAATGTCTCATTTCAGTAAGCCCAATATTATTGTAAAACAACATATTTTCTTCGGTAGGAGTTCTAGAAGATCTGCACAACAAGTTTATCAAGGAGCAGACAAGAATTAATAACTCCACACGCGGCGTAGCAGCTACCAATAACGTAAGAAATTTTGATCCTTTAGATACAATTTGAGATGGCGCCTCATAGATGGATGTTGACATCAAAATAAGCATAAACTTCAATACTTCCATCCTATTACTATCTATCATGAGATTAGGAGTTTGATATTTCGCTGTTGTTCCAATTCCCGGCTCCCATACACTCATCATTCTATTACTACCACTCCTGCCTTCTCCACCATTCGGCACATCCATAGTAAACGACCTGATAAACAATAAATCCACTAAGCATTTTACCAAGTTCACACCGATAATGTTTTCTTTATTTCCAGACGTTTCCTTTTTCTCTTCTCCTCCTAGCACGTTTACTGTTGTCTGAATATTATCTAAAGATGATCTGGTGGCCACTGCCATTGGATCAAATGTTTCCGACCAAAACAAAATATCCTCTAACTCACTAGAATACTCAGGTAATTCAAATAAAAATGGTAGTAGCTTGGTTAAAAAACGGATGCAATTCAATAATTCTGATATGGGTGCATCTTCACTAGGGAAATTTTCATGCTGTGCTAGATAAGTAAATCTTAATATTAACACCCTTATCATTAAGACAAAATTAGCTCTATTTTGCTCCCGAATAGTTCTTATGTCATATGGTGTAAGTAATTCATAAATGTCACTAGATGTCTCTGGTTCTTTCCAAAATGCATCCCAGTAGGTAGTATCAGAGCTGGGTATTAACCTACCTTGTCCTAATTTGAAAAAATGATTTTTAAACCTAAGTCTTTCTTCTGCCGTTTTCATAGTTACAACATTAAGATCTCCAACAACTCAGTAAAATCAGTCTATTGGCGGTATCTATGACTTACTCTTTCAACCTATCCGTAAAAATTAGTTGTGATAATTGTTGAGTATGCGCTCGTGACTATTGAATAATTTATTATTCTTGATCTATTTACAAAGCTAATATTACTAAGAAATATATGCTATATAGATGCCACTGGTATAGTATTCATTGCTATAATAAGCGTTTTTGCATGCATCGAATAATTTTAAACTTAATATTCATGTGTTATCAAATCAATTTTCTTGATTTGTAAAATTCACCTACATCATCGTCACCTCGTTTTCGAATACTTCCGACAAGTGAAGCATATCCCACATCGACATTCATACCTGCAACAGGAGTGGCGCTTTCGTCTCTAGTTCGTTGTAACTCTTCTTCATCTAACTCCAAGTCATCGGCATCACCAATATTTTTGATCGTAATATCGTGGTCGTTTTCTTCATTATCGATCCACGATGACGGTATTTCCAAAACTGGAGCATTGGAGTCAGAGTCTTGAAAACCCATACTATAAAACCCATCTGTGTTATCTCCATTCTCCTCATCAGATTCCGAGTCATAATGGAATGCCGAGCACGTTGATAGACCATTGTATAGTCCGTAAATCTCCGAATTCGTGCTTTCAAAGAGTCGATTAACCATATTCTTGGGGATATCTTTGTTCTTGGTTATTATTAACTCTACAGTCGAGGTATATTCTGTTGGTTCCGTCGGTATGCTCGAAATGTAGTCATTCGATAATAGTTGTAAATATAAAGCCTGGCTGTCACTATTATTTTGCAAAGCGCTTAATGATATACTCTGATATGGTAATTCTAACCCCTTCTGTATTTCATCGAGCCATATTATGAAGCAAGTATTTAGGACAAATAATGAAATGTCTGAGTTCTCTATACTTTGAATTTCTTCATGCATCTTCACTTCATGAGTCGGATCGTTCCTCAAAACCGCAATCTTATAGCCTGAACCCCCAGCATGTAGCACAAGCTTATCATCGTCCTCAATAGAGAACTTTTCTGGTGATGAAGCCTGATAAACAGAAAGTGGTATTGTATTCTCAACATTCGGTTGTTCAAATATCAATTTCGGATTAGGTGTCATGTCGGACTTCTTACTAGAATGGAATGTAGTAGAGTCTGTTCTTGGTTATTTTACTGCTATAGCTTTAAGATTGTAGGTGCTTATCAGAAAACTAAGAGAGAGTAGTTTTCCATATTACGTTCAAAAACGTGCGAATCTCAATAAAAAACTCCATTCATTTTTAACTATCTTGATATACAATTATATATATAAGCATATATTGCTCGAGAAATAAACCGTTTAACCTTGGGATAACTTTCTGATCAATCTTTGGAAAACTGGACCACTATTTTGGGTATTTTCAATATCCTTCTTAATTTTTTCACTCTTTTCTTGTTCCCTTCTACTAACCTCTTCCCTTGATGGTGGTAATGCTTCATTCACTAAATCTGCTCTTCTGGCCTCTTCAAACGAGGATAAAGTTCTTTTCAAACCTTCACTTCCATGTAATAATGAACCCTTCGGCAAGGTACCGCTATTCAATTGTTTAAGATGGGCCACGCTTTCCGATTCTTGTCTCAAAACTTGGTACATTCTAGACACTCTACCGATAGCAATGACCTTATTACGCAACGTTTGTCTCTTGGCTTCAAATGAATCAGGATCTGTCTCATTTGGAGGTTCTGAAGTTGGCGAGGACGCAACAGCTGAAATAGCGGTATGGTCATATGCGTTATTATAGCCTTCATTGACAACAGTCTCTTCTTCTAATTCTTCTTCAGTACAGATATTCAAAATTGAAACTAACATATCCGTCACTTTTTCACCAACAAATGGCAAAGACCAAGTGAATACGTCCATAAAATGTGGTAACCAGTATGGATGGGGAGATGCGTTGAACTGACGAATATTCATCACATTATTTTCATATTTCAACACTGCAGCCTTGTTGTTGTAAGTATCCAAATAGTTTGGTGCACTAAACATAGTTAACAATGAAGGAAATCCCATAGTTTTAGTTCTTTTATACATCCTATAACCCGCATCTTGTGCTTCGTGCGCTCTAATAATCGATAACAATCCGGTTCTTTCCAAAAACTGGCATGCTGCTTTATAAGTAAATGCATACGAGCATCCTCTCACGGTATTTTTTAAGAAAGTTTGGTCAATGTTATCTTCATCATATTCTTCAACAGGATCGGCCCATAGTAAATCACACACTAATCCTTTAGTTGGTGGTTCTTTAAATCTATCAATTCTGATCAAATCATCCAATGTCCTTAATTCAGGAGATAAACCCCCATGAACACAAAAAAACTGCTTATTCATAATTGCTGCCAATGGCAATGCGTTGAAGGATTTTAGGCACTCTTCATACAACGTAGACGAGTATTTGTGCAAACATTCTGATTTGAACGTGAAATACTCTGTCAAATGTTTACACTCGTGATTACCTCTTAACATCCAGAAGGTGTCTGGGTAGTTCAATTTCAACGAATATAAGTAAAGTAAACACTCTATTGAAAATGATCCCCTGTCAACATAGTCCCCCAAGAACAAATACGCTGTATTTGCCGGATTACCTCCAACTTCGAATAATTTCATTAAGTCGTAATATTGGCCATGAACATCCCCGCATACGGTCACAGGTGCTGGAACGTCTAAGAGGTTGGGTTCGCTGGCCAAGAGATCACTGGCGTCACGTAAAATCCTGATGGCCTGTTCTTCGTGTAATCTCCCTTCATGTATAAAATGATTTTTCAAAAACTCACAATTCGGTAATCCATTAGGCAAAAATAATTGTTGGTCTGTTGGCTTAAAGCTGGCTGGAGGCTCTACCGTTTTTACCGCTCTTTCTTTCGTAGATAATTCCTCTCCTTCTTCAGTAATATAGACACTAAAGTCTCTTTTATTAGGTGGTTGTTTTTCCTCTAACGCCCTTAATGCGTTATTTATCTGGACCGAAGCATTCTTAGCTCGCTGAGATTGATTAGACATCTTATAATTACTATAACATAAAGTTTATCCACCTCAATGCAATTGCCTTATAATAAAAGAAAACGTATCAAGATAATAAACTGAATATCAAAAAAAAAATGCGACGAGGCTTACAGATAGCGAACTGGTCAGTACAAAATATAAAAACAAAAGGTTTTTAATAGCCATAAATCATATTTAAGAGTTGATAGCTTTAATTGCCTATATAATTTACTTAAAACAATCTCTACGAAATTTTATGTGAATCTTTCACAATTCGAGTTCTGAAAAATCTTCAGATGCTACACGAATAACCTGCGCCTTATTCTTAAACCCATTAAACGAGGTTGTAGCAGCGGAAGTATAAGCACCCAAGTTTGGAAAGTAAAGCCAATCACCAACTTCAACGTTGTGATACAAAGCACTTCTATTAGAAACACAATCTAAACCATCACAGGTAGGACCCCAAATGGAAAAGTGGTGTTTTGTAGCTTTATCGGATTCTTGCTCGTCGAAACATAAATTGTTCTTATGAGTCAAAACATGAGGAATTGGGTTTTGGTGATCAAAAAGAATACAATTCATGTTACCATAGACTCCATCATTGATGTAGAGCATCGCCTCGAGGTCATTAGACTCCTTCAAGGACGCTGGAAGATCTCTACGCGCAATAATATGCGTAGCCAATGTGAAGGCTTTAGAGACCATTAGTCTACCTGGTTCTGCAATAAACTTAATATTTTGCGATGAGCAGTAATCGCTGGAGAAGTATTTTTCTAATGATAGTTTTACCATTGCTGAAGACTTGTCAAAAGTCTCCATTTCAAAACCTCCACCAATGTCTAAAATGTTCATGGAATCACCGTATCCGTATTCATCAATACCTTTATCGAAAATAAATCTTGAATCCTTGACAGCCTTATGAATGGAATCAAAATCCTTGGCTCCTGATCCTACATGGAAAGCAACTCCTCTAATGTTTAAACCTAATTTTGCAGCTAGAGGCAATAATTCGTTCACTGCCGTATCAACACTACAACCAAACTTAGTGGATAAACGACATTGAGCTGTCTCATCGTCGGTAGCAATTCTAATCAAGATTCCACATTTAGGATGATATTTTTGCAATTTGTATAATTCCTGAGGATTATCAACAGTTGTCAATTCAATGTTAGCTTCATTGGCATATCTAATGTAAGAATTAGTCTTGCATGGATTAGCGTAAACAATTCTATCCGGGGAGAATCCTAAACTCAAAACGATGTCAATTTCATTCTTTGAAGCGCAATCAAAATTTGCACCTAATTGACCTAATAATTTGATCACTGACAAATCAGTGTTACATTTGACAGCATAGTAAGCTTGAACATTAGGCAATGTTTGCCTCCATTTCATGTAGGAACGATAAACTTCACCTAAATCAACAACAAAAAAAGAGTCCTCTTCTCCGGCATTGCATATTTCGTGATCAATATTTGAAATATGGGTTGCTAACGCTTCTCTAATTAGCTTTTTGGAAAATTCAGGACCAAAATTCTTAATAATTGGGCCCTTGTTATATCCTTTTGACATAGTATCATATGTAAGGATTTCATCATGGTATACCTCAATCGATGGGGTCATAACTTGGACTCTAGCTTTTTTCTTCAAGATTTATTTTATAAGTGAAGTAAGTTAAAAATTCTCTAGTATTATTACAGATAATACGATATAATCCAGCGGTGTAATATTCACACGAACTAAGGATTTTAGACTTTATATGGGCAATGTAGACTAATCAAATGAACTCACGATATTTGTGAGTAAATAAATTATTAGACTTCAAGCGGCAGCTCTCGTAGTAAAAAACAAGATATAATCAAGCAAGATGATGTGCAAGCAAACAAGTAGCTTCTCTTTCAAAATAATCTAACTTTAAGTTAAAATATATATTTATTTAGGAATAAATTGCTAAGCACTAGATAAGTGATTGAAAAATTTTCAAAATCTTGGATTGCGATAAAATAAAAATTAGGTGCGAAATTGATCTCGATAATAGGGAAGAGGCCCTGATAAGAATTGCTTGACTTGCTTGTATATTAACAAAAATATAAGACTACAATTCAATCAATGGTTCTTCTACCAATTTACTCTTTCTCTCGGATTCCTGACTAGGTTGATCAAATTGGGGCATAGATGGCATTGTTGGTACCTTTGAATCTTCTTGACTTTCTATATAAGTAGATTGTTCATCAGAATTAAGCTGATTAATTGAGGGAAACTTAGCAGCAGCATGATCTTCTGCATCATCATCTTGTTCAAAAGGAGGGTAAGAAGGTTCAGTAGGTAAAGGAGGATTGTAGCTTGGTTGAGAGGGAGTGTTCTGATTGAAAGAACCATTTGAGTCTTGAGGAGGGTACGTCGCTTGATAAGGGTACGCGGGCTCATTTCTATCACTCTCATTTTCTTTTTGAGATGAATAGTATGGCGTGGTACTACTATCTTGGTTATTTTTGGTGCTCTCTTGATCAGATTCTTGATAGTATGAGGGATAAAAAGAAGTTGGGGGTGGTTCTTGAGACAGCTGCGGTGGACCTTGTATAGATTCCAATGGTGGTTGGCTTGATTGCTCAGTAGCTTGGTCAATTGACGGATAATTGTTGTACCCGGTAGTTTGGTGTGATAAACCAGCTGGTGGGTAATTCTGTGTTCGAGATTGATTTTGTTGAAATTGAGATGGTGACAGGACTCTTTGATCTAGCGGATATGGGACATAGTCATTAGACGATTGGCTATGATATGGTCCTTGAATTGGTTGGTTAGGTCCACCATATGAAGTCGAAATAGTATGGTTTCCGTAAGCTTGATTTAACTTAGACTCCAAGAATTGGTCGTATAGCCTACTGATAGTTGAAATCTTATTATTTAATTCTAAGCATGTTTCATATTTCTCAATAGATGCTCTTAATGACTTATTCAATTTCGGTTTCAATTGAATTATTTTACCATGTAATTCGCTTAAATTAGAGTCGTATAAAATATTTGCTTGTTTCGATGGATCATTCTTGATGTTGTTCATAAGGGTGATGAATAAGTTAATCGATTCTTCTTCTTGTTGACTTAAGTCCTCCGCTTGAGGTTTTACATTATATTGTTGAACATGATTTATTGGTGTTAATTGTTGTTGCAGTACTTGATTTTGATATGATGGATCCAGTTGGTCAAATGGCAAAATATGCTTATAAAATTCAGATTGTGGCTCTTGGTACGGTGCCTGCTGTGATTCAACAGGCTGTTGTTTATACATTTTTTCCTGTTGCTCAAACTCCTTCAAACTTGCTGCAATAGCTGCTTTCATTTCCTCATCTTCCTCATCGGCTTCATTATTTGCCACTGGTGAAGGAGATCTAGGGGGAGGTATTTGGTTACGAACAGGTACCTGAGATTCCTCTAAACTCAATTCAATTGCTTTCCTTAGCTGTTCGTCTTCATCATCCAAATTTTCTCCAGTTGGGTGAGAAGGGGTTTTCTTATGTCTCACTTTACTCAAGTTTTTACTATTCTTGGATTTTATCTTTTCATAACAATTATCGCAAACCCTAACTGGCTCCATTATCCCCAAAGCAACCAAAGGTGAATTATGAGATGAGTGGGTTTGACAATAAACGCCACCGCATGATCTACAATGATGCTTTCTGTTCATCAATGAAAATGGGTTATAGCAAATCATGCACTCATTACTATCAATCCAATCGGGCGGTGCTTCTGAATCAATGAAATTATTCGACAATTGACCCCCTACTTCCAGCTCCGGGAAGTCGTATCCTTGGTTCATTAATTGATGATAACTCCTCTCGACATAATTCAACAGAGCCTGATTTTCAAACACTAGCGTCCAGTCCTTAATCAACGATAAAATAAAGCTACCTACCTTAAATTTTGCCTCATTCTCTATTACATTCGAGTCCTTAGTGTTGTAATGAATCTTGAATATATAATCGACCAAATAATCGATAAACTCTTTACTACTTAATTCTACCAAAAAGTGATATCCCCCATTTTTAACACACAAATCCACTAACTTCAATGTCAGGGTAAGCAAATTTGGATTAGAATGTGTAGCAGTTAACCGTTTTTTCAACGATCTCATACATTGCTTGGGTGGTATTTTCTTACTCCTAATCAAATCGGTGATTTCTAAGGCAATGGCCAAATCAAGCTCACCATTTGGGATAGATTCAGAAGTAGCTTCATTAATTTTCAGCTCTAAATCAGCAACGGGTACCGTGCTTCCACTGAACCATGACATGGTTTATCAATACTTTATTTGCTTTATTATAAACTGCTCTTACGACTTGACAGATATCCTTCGTTATCAATGATCATAAAGGATTACCGAAAATGGGTGCGCCACGCCACTCCTACAAAAAGGGTCGATGTAATAGATAATTGTGTATAAACATAGTAAACGAACAAAAATGACACGTATAGAGATTATAATACGATATATCATGATGGGATTATCACTGGGTGAAATTTAGTCACTTAATGTAAGAAAATAACGGCGGAGCCAAGGCCAATACCGGCAATAGCAGTCCACCACCAGAACTCGTACTTGGCAGACGAGGTTTCAATTCTAGCATTTGACCTGTATTGGTTTTCTAATGATCTCTTAATTCTCTTTCTTAACGACGACTTAGTTTCGGAAGCTGAGTCAGTTGGGTTTAAGGCAGAAGTAGGTAACATCAATGGAGGCTTGTAAGCCAAATACAATGGCTGCATCTTAGAACCATCGAATTGGTATATTTGCAACATACGTCTTCCGTTGTAGCTATCAACCGAGACCTGGAACTTCTTGAACCAGGTCTTTTGCACGTATCTCGAGTAGAGCGAGGTGTCGCTTTCAGTATCCAGACCACATGGATCACTCAACAATTGTCTTCCATCAACCGCAATAGGGGTCATAATTAACGATCCATTTGTCAATATTGTGTATGTGCCGTGTTGATAGATCAAAGTAGCAGTAGGACAAGAGTGGTTTTGAGGATTCGATGTCACTCTGTATAAAGCCTCTTCGTAGTGGCCATCTTCAGTAAAAGAATACGAAATACCTGGTAAATCTGGCTCAATCAATAATTCTGAAACCGGGTCATAAAACCCTGGCCCTGTAAACACGGTATTTGATTTCGACGACCATGTACCGACTAACTCTTTCATGTTTTCACCCAACACCTGAGCACCAAGTATGAAAAGCGTTACCAAAAATGAAAATATCATCATTCTGTATTAAATATTAATTTCTTTGTACTTTGGTTTAATTTTACTAAACCAATATGTGTATTTGGTTGATTTCTTGTTGTTCCAACTTTTCGTTCGTCAAACAGCAACTGGTAGTATTATACACTAAATAAATTTCAATATAACTAACACTGTCTCAAATTTCGTGTAATAAATTCGTTTAACCTACTAATGAATGCTGATAGGCTGAATTTTTCTTTAAAAACGATATAAACGACGGTTATTATTTAAAAAAATCAGTTATTCTCTTCTTTATTTTAGTTGATTCCTTTTTAGCATCGCGATTTTTAGTACTGCTTAATACACACGCAATTTTTTTCTATTAGTGGCAGTGTCTTTTCAACGAATCTATAGGTTATTAAAATATTTACACCAGTATAAAGCACTGGAAAGTGTTTATGATTGAATAATGTATTTACAAAATATGCCATAGAGTTCTAGAGATTTATCTCAATGTAAATTATAGCGTATATATAAAGGGAAATAAAGGGATATATAAATCGTACTTCAAGTGTAATAAGGGTGTAATATAAGAATACAAATGTAATTAAAGTGAAATAAAAGATGAAATAAAAAGCAAATTGGTTAAACGTAGATAGAAAAACGTAGGCATAGCAAATATTATACAGAAATATAGGATGGAAAAAAAGACGAAATACAAAACAAGAATGAAAAAATCACAATAAGCGAATGGTAGCAAGCAGTAATTATATATGAAACTTATTAATGTACATGCATATGGAAATGAATCTTTGAGTGATGGGGAGGGATATGCTTACCGCATGCGAAATGAAGGGTTGTATATGAGCAGCAAGATTGAATTAAATGGAGGGGGGGAAATGGGGCTACTTTTGGAACCATTTGCGGTTGATACTATATTTTGACCAATTTTGGGGAATGCTTGCTTTTTTTGTAGCTATTCGAAGCTAATGCTAATGATAGATGGAGTATTCTGGGTTTTTATATGGAATCTGAGTAATTGATTGCACCCATTTAATTCAACGACTCTGGCGAAGATGGCTTGATGACACAGTTAGTGTTATAGCGTTGTGGGGATGGATATGAATATGACGTAGAAAGAGTGTTGGTAGAAGTAGGTGATGATATGGGAAGTATGGTTGAGGCAGTGGATAACGTGGTTGATGATGCAGAAATGAACGTATCATTTGCAAATATAGAAGCATTCTTTTTGAAGACAGGATATAGCTCTTTAGGGAGTAGAGTCAAATTAGTAGCTGGATCGAGAGTAGACCCAAACGAGTTGGTGTAAATATTCATAACATTATGGTGGAAATAATTAGGACCTTTGGAGTTAAAGTAGCATAATAGCGGGCCGGATGCATCGACAATTGCCTTGATAAGGTGCTGTTTGATAAACAAGTAGTCTTTTCTATTAATTGAATGACATAGTTTGTCATAGTGATTGCTTGTTTCTCGGGTTTTTAGGATTTCGTTGACCAAGTCGGTGATTACTAGACATAAATTGAGAACACCAACATTCATGAGGGCAAATGAATAAACGGAAACATATGAAATAAACCTTTTAACTTGGAACAATTCGTTTTGTTTCAAAATACTAAATTCCGGGGATTGGACAATAAATTCTTCAATGGACGGATCATTGAACGACCAGTTCAAGGTCTTTAATATATGCAATTCCATTTGCTTGAACTGTTTAACTGAATAGTTGCATTTCGTACCACATAATTTGATGAACTCGTTGAGTTTGGGCATACGGTACCTTTCCGTTGGACCCTTGAACTTACCCCCAGCACCGTAACCCAAGTCATTGATAGTCTTAACCGAGGCCAACTTCTCAATATTGTTCAAATTAACGAAGTGGCTATTCCCTCCCTCGAACTTTGCGGCTAACCAAAGACATGTAGAAATTATCAATTGGGCTTTATCAAGCAAGATAATCCTCTTGCAACAATACCTGTCAAATATTTTTACTGCTCTATAAAATACAAAGGGTAAAGCTTTCAATCTAACAGACATTTTAAATAGAAAATCAAGTAATTTGAGTCTGATGGAGAAGGTCAAATAGGGTTGTTTTTGAAATGCTTCAATGTTTGGTATGTTTGTCTTACAAGAATTGACCAATGCTTCGTATATCTCATCTCGATATTCATCAACTACTTGCTCGTGTTGTTCTATTTCTGATGCATACAATGTTGAAGAATAGTCCTGGAGGGAAAATTGACCGAGTGGTGTGTGTGATGAAGCATATCCATTGAGCATTATGAGATTTCTATACCCAGAACAATATATTCCTCGATGAAAAATTGCAATAGCAGCGAATTAATTCATGAAGGAATTGGCATACTTATATAAGTGCATACCTTAATACGACTTACGGCCTCATCTAGTATTATTGTTCGTTGACCCCCTCGCACTAGTGTGAATAATAGCTTCCAGACTTATGTGGTAATACGCCTAATACCAATTAGGACAGGCCACAACAAAGACTCCATTTCTGTCCATGCCCACAATGCTTCAACAGCAATAAACTGTCGCTTAACCTTATCACTTCAAGGATATCCGAAGATAGCATGTTGACATTATATGGTGGTAGTTAAACTAAGGGTGTCTGCATAATGTATACTTTGTACGCACGTTCGCCTATGTAGGGGCCGAATAGGCTCAATTGTATTGCAATGAACTTATTAGGAGCTAACTGCCACCTATCGTCTAACTACCTCGGCATTGGCTTACATATATATTATCATCTCTATTCTTCCGTCTTGATCAAACGGCACTTCTTCCAGTCTATCCTATTCACGAAACTCAATTTCGCAGCCTCCTATTGTTTCCCCTTATTGTTTTTCAGGTACAGCTAGCCGAATCCGGTCAGATTTTAAACGAAGTACGAATTCAGCTACTTACATACACGATTGGCACGATTGATATGTGATGTCTTAGGCCGTGGTGCCGACTTATGCAGAAAGTAGCTGTAACGTTATTTAATGAATAGTCCGGGCCGTTAACACTTCTGCGGTACATTATTGGACAGTGCTATTCTCGGTACTCATTCTATTGTTATGGGGCAATCACGGGATACAAAACTAATCACCAAACAATTATGGAGCACTATTGTCATATGCCAGCAACAGTACCCATAGATTCCAAAGTTGCCATTTAGGGCTCATCGTATTTTCATCGATGGCCATAATCCTGAATGCCTATTCTTTTCATAACTCGAAAACAACAAAGTTTAACCGGAAAATCAGCACTTTCAACGTTTCTACCAACGGTTTCTACCAGTAATCGCATTTGTCGAACGAGCCTCAAACCCGTAGGAACTCGATGATAAAGCTTTGTGAAAACGAGTCAAAGCAAGTTACTCAAGGTACCAAATTACTCTAACTTGTAAACTGGTGCAGCATTTCTTGTAACCTGTAAACTTCCTATTTTTCAATCGCGATCGACCGTTTAGATAAACAAAAACACTAGTTATAACCACAATTCTAACCAAAAAGCGTTATACCTCGATGGAAACTCCGAAAAAAGGTATCTTAAGTAAGGCATATTCGTCTCTTTTTGGGCCCACGTCACCTTTGACTAATGAACCTACTGTAGATTATAATAATACCATACAAACATATCCAAGGTACAATGAGGACACAATTAGTACTAAACCATTGCAGAGGTCGCATCGTCAAAACGCAGAAAAATCAGAAAATAATGATAGACAGTACAAACATGACCTACTAGATAAGAGAGAGACGTTGGGTAGGGATTCGCAGTATAAGGACTTGTTTAGTGACCATTATATAATAGACTCGCAGGTGCTTGATGATTCGGACGATGAGCTAAATAGCGATATTGACTATATTTTCAACAGATACAATCACACAAACGAAGTTGTGAACAATTTGTCAGAGCGAGTGCCTGGAAGCTTGTCCACGGGCATTTTGTATAGAGATACACCAGGCCTGAGGAGCAGGACGCAGAAGAGACTCCCTACTGACTATCCAGGACGGTATCCGAGTCCACTGGTACTGAAAAGGGAATCATATGAACCGAAATATGTTGATTCTATAGATAATGACTTGAAAAGTTTAGAAAGAGAAATAAATTTGGAGAATGATATCACTACGGCCCAGTTGAATGCCAAATATAATAAATATACGTCTGGATACTCTAATGGAGCGCACAAAGGTTCCGGAGATGAAGATCGAGTCGTCACTAAAAATGATAAAAGATTGCTCGAAATTTTTGATAGAGTTAAAGACAGAAATAAGTTTCTCAACGAGTTGAATGCATATGTTGATCTAAGCAGCCAGGTTGAGGTACCCACTGACATAAACGAGAAGTACAAGGCATTACGAGAAGAGTATATAAAGGAGCTAACCAATTGTCAAAACTTCTATAAGGCATACTACAAGTTGGTATTCAAATACCGTAATTTAAAGAAACAGATTTCGAGATCATCAACCACAACCATGCGAGAAAAAATCAAACTTATCAAGTCAACCTCCCATCAACTGTCAATAAGAATAATCTGTGATAATTTGTTAATTGAAGTTGACAAGAACGATAGAACGATAGCACATTACCAAAACGAGTTGGATATTGCCAATTCAAAAATTAAGCATCTAGAAGACAAGCTTGCCGAGCAGGGCCCGGCTAGCAATAGATAACAGTATAAAAATAGGTATCACTTATATTAGTGAATATTACATTATATAATTTTTAGCATAACACTAAACTTATAAACATAATAAACCGGCAGCCAAAGCAGCAAGACTAAGACCTGAGACACCATTAATAGCAGCACCACCTTCAATTGAGGAGATAGTTGGGCTAGTAGTGTTCGAAGAAGCCGAATGAGTAACAGAACCTGGTGTGGAAACAGCAGCAACCGATGATGGCACAGCAACAGAAGAGGATACCTTACCTGGACACTCAGTAACGGTAGAAGCACAGCTGGTGACAGTAGCAACAGTAGTATCAGTGTGGACCTCTGTGGAGACAGAGCCACCTTCGGTTGAAGTAGCAGAAGTTAAAGAAATAACAAATAAGATAGCAGCGGTTGAGAATTTCATTTTTGATTGTTTAGCGATTGGATTATTAGCTATCCATCATTTTTCATTTGTCTGTGAAAAGCACCTCTTTAAATAATTTTTTCATTAAGGTTTCAATTTCTTCGAATTGCCCCAAGTGTGTAAGATATAAATAGTTATAGCATGATATAAAGCAGAATTACTATTACTGCCCTTTCCATAGGCAAGGTTTATCCGGATCAAGCTGCGAAACGATTTTTTTCACGCAAGCGCAAGTTCATAACACTCGTATTTTTCGGATAAACAGAATATAATGCCAAATAATCACTACAGTAGACAGTAGGAGTAATAATTACTGCTGGTAAGAGCAGGAATAGCCAAAAATAAAAATTTAAATTTAATAGTTTGTTACATATATGTTGCCTGTAGTAGTTTTGGTACTAAGATTTAAAATAGAGGTAAATTTTGATAATTTACAAACTAGTTCCCATCTCGGACTTCACCATAGCCCATATTGCATCAGCTCACATCATACACACTGCACTAGTAGCATTGACACCAAAATAATAGGAAGTTATAACAGCTATGTTAGTTAAGCAAAACGCGAACTGCTCATACTAGGAACCATGGAATGCACGTCAGCATTAAAGCCATCATCGAAGACACTCTCGCTGATACATTCACTAATAATGTAATCCCAATCACTAGTTAATACAAAGTAATATTGTAGCGTAGAAACGAAAAAAAGAGCAATGATCATTCCTAGCCATAAGCCCACCAATTCAAGCTTGAAGTAGAATGCAAATGTAAAAGCACAGGGCAATGCAATGCAATAGTAAGATATTAAATTTAATATTCCGCCTATTTTCTGTCTACCTTGGCCTCTTAGAATCCCCCCTGTTGAGCACGACAAAAAGTCGTTAATTTGGTATACCGAAGCAACCACTAAAACCTTGGAGGTAAGTTTAATGACATGAGAATCGTCGGTATATAGAGAAGCTAATGTATCTCTAAAGCAGAACAAAAAAGATCCATTAATTAATCCTAGCAATAATGAAATGTAGATTGCAACTGTTGTTGCAGCCTTGGCAGGCTTTTTTGCGGCAGCACCAATGTACCAGGCAACTCTAGTAGAAATAGCAATCGATATGGCAAACGGAATCTGATAAAGAAGGACACATGTGGTTGAAACGATTGATTGAGCAGCTAAAACATCAGTACCGAATTTAGAAGCAGTAAAAGTAATAATTTCGAATGCTAACCATTCTGCCTCTACCATCAAGACTCCAGGTATTGAAAGATTAATCATTCGGGTCCAGTTTCGAAAGAAGATGGGTGACAACAAGCCTCCACTAGGCCAACATTCATTACCCTTGACTTGCCAAATATACAAGTAAAGCAAAATACACATTAACCAATTGGTTATGGATACAGATATTGGTGCTCCTACGAATCCCATACCAATCGACTTGTTCCATACTAATAAATAATTAAGGTATGCGTTCAATGGTGCACAAATAGCCAAAACATACGTCGATGCGTGGAATATACCTTGAGCCTGCAAGAAGTGTTTACCATTTTCAAAAAGAATAAAAGCTGGTAAACCTAAACTTAAAACTTGAAGATACTGAGATGCCAATGAACACAATTCCTCCTTCTCATTACCAATAATCATCAAGAGAATTGGTTTCGAACCAAAAACCCATAACAAAAACATGGGGATACATAACAAAAATAACAAATAGTTACACTTGAAAAAGTGTACACCAACGGTGCTAAATTCCTTTCTACCATAAGCCTGTGCACATAATGTATCAAGACAGGTAGAAACTCCTTGAATTATAGCGTATCCAGAAATATTAGCTGTCATAGAAGATAAACTAACAGCTGCCAATTCCCTCAGCCCTAGTCTCCCAACCGAAAAGACTGATGCAACTGTTAATGAATACTGCAATAAGAATGTAATAACCAATGGAATTGAGTACTCAAACAATACCTTAATTTCTGTTTTGTAGTCAGTTTCGGGCTCGGCCAATAATCCGCTTGCATGAGATAAGACATCTCCCACGAATGATGCATTCGATCTAGACGTGGTAATCAATTCATCGTTCCCCCTATCTATATGTGACCTTATTCCGCCCCCTTGGCTTAAAATCAAGCTGCTTGGAATCTTATCAGTTCCGCATGAGGCAATAGATGCTCTTCTGTTTTGAATATATGTGATGACTTCAGATTCATCTAAATCCTCATTTCTTATTGAATCATAGAGAAATCCGCTATTCGCTAATGGTGTAATCTCATTAGTGGGCTCCCCCCTGTAGGTCATAGTATTTTGGGTCAAATATGAAATGAATTGTTTAACTATTTGTAGATCATTTATAAAATCATATCATTGAATTTACATTTAGCCACGCGCATAAAATTATAATCGTGGTTTTATTGTATAATAGACGAAACGAATTTCCTTTCTAAAATCCAACATAATGATATATTATGATTGGTGTATATATGATCAGGTTCCGTTTCTTCCTATTTTTATAACTGGATGCTATTTTTCTTGCTTCTTTATATTTTAATTCCATAAAGAATGGCTGCAAATTTACAATAATTCTTATATATAGCAAAAATTCAATAAAATTTAAAAACAAGGAGACAATACAATTCAGAAATCTGAAACATAATATACAAACAACATGATGTTTAAATTAATACAAATAACTAGAAAAAGTGAAAGATAAAGTGGCACGAAGTACACAATTAATGATGATTAATTCTTTGTACTTATTGCAGGAATGATGAGTTGAAAAATATTCGTACTAGTTAAAGATATCAAGCCATGGAGCTAGATTATCGTCAGCAATAAAATCTACATGAGGTAGATGACAATGTAGTTGGATACTATGGTTAAGCAAGATTTTATGACTTATTATATTTTATTCTAATAATTGCAAAGTTTATAAAATGATGCAATAATACAACTTCTATAAACAGATGGTTTCGATGTACAACAATTTCTACGAAAAAGTCTGATTCTAATTGACATACCTAAAACTTTCCTCTCAACAAGTTTCTGACCATATCTAAACCTGTAAAGTAAACTGTTCTACCGAAAGCATGGAAGTCTAAAGTGGAGGATAATGTATCTAAGAACCCGAATGGCAACATAGCTGGAATCCAACCTTGTGCCAATTCCAAGGCAAAAGCACCACTTGGCATAGAATATTGCTTAGCGTATCCCTTGGATAAATGATGAACATCACCTGGTAAGTAGACTTCTGGTGTCAAGGCACCTGGGAAAGCAGCCTTTTGTTCTCCGGTCAAGATAGTAAAGTAATCATCGGCAAAATGAATACCAGTGTGACCTTCAGTACCAATAGCAGTTCCAAAAAAGATCAAGTATTCACTGATGGAGGCATGTAAGATAAACATGGTTCCCATAGCACCACCGGCATTATTGTAAACCCAGTTGTCGAAGTTCAAGTCGTTGATAATATCACCGTATTCAGCCTTAATCTTTGGTGCTAATTCAAGCATGATGGCAGTAGCATTTCCATCTGGATGGTTGGCAATCACTTCTCTTGATAAACTGGCAAGCTTTTCTTTATCAAATCTATAATTTCTTGGTAACCAAGTGTAAAACAAGTGATTGAGGACATAAAATATAGCTAATGGAATAGCTGTGAAGTAGAATAATTTCATTCTGTAACGAGTTGTATCTTTTATGTATAAACGTAATGAAATAGTCTTCAGGCACAATCACAATCTTTTATAAGTCGTAGATTCTGAAAAATTTATACGACTGTAAACGAGTCGTATAAAAATTATTTTGTGTTATCTTCAATTTTCAGGATTAATGAAGATATGATGAATGTATACCAAGAATAATAGTCGAATAAAATTAATAATGATATCCAATGAGGTTGCAGATACCTTAAATAGCCATTTAATGTCTAGCATAGAGAAATATTTATATTTGAAGCAAAAAATATACCAAAATATCGAGTCAGAAGCTAATCAAATAATAGATAACTTACCACTAGATAGCGACAATGAAGAGTTGAGTGCATTAATGATCCTATTAAAGATTGAGTTTATCTTGGAATTTAGAGAAATAGGCATCTATGAGATAGAATCTCTTAATAAAATGATACAGCTTTCAGGGGCTTTTCCAAAAGGACCCTTTAATGTACAGAATAATCCAACAAGACAATACATACGAGTTAAATATAATGATTTATACAATGATTTCCAATATCTATTCAATCCGACCATTACAATCTTCAGATTTATGGAGCTAGTCAATAAAAAATTAACTACGTTGAGTAACATACCGGATACAGAAGATGACAATGTTATTGATTTAGCAGTGGACTTATACTTGAAAGTAGTTGATTATTGTTTATTGGCAGGAAGTGATTTCAGGAAGAAAAACATATTAAAATTTCTAGATGAAACATTAAGTATTTCACAAGTTACAAAGGTAGATTCCACGATTGCAAACAAATTCAACAAGAAAGTTGAGGAGTCGGTAAGAGGCCTATTCACTTTACTAAATGAAGAAAAATTTATCCTGTTTAAACAATATGAAGCATTTTTGGCTAATTCAAAGGCACCAATCGTGAAGAGAATCGCAAAAACGAATTCATCATTATTGATATCGAATTTCCTTGAAAATAATATTTCATTACTTCCTAAGTACTATATGAATATTCATTTGGATAAAATAACACAATTGTTTATAATACCGACAAATTTGGATATTGAAGCTCTTGTTTCGCAAATGATAATCAGTGGAAAATTACCACCAGGTACTTGCATAGATCAGATGGAACAGACTTTAATATTTGGTGAATTTCAACCTGACTACAGTATATTTGACTCCCATGTGCAAGAGGTTTCTGAAATGGTCGACCAAATAGCAAATTTAATTCATAATACTAATCTATAGTATCTAAGTATATATCTAATTCTAATTTAATTATACTTCTAATATTAGTTCCGTATTCTACTTAATTATTAATTTAGTCATACTTGGAATACTCATTAGTCCAGTATTGTCTTAAAGTCTTCTGTTTACCGAGCTTATTGATTTCATTAACTTCATCCTGGGTTAATTCGAAATCAAAAATTTCTAAACTAGCTTGGATTCTCTCTTTCTTACTAGAAGTTGTAATTGGTAAAATACCATTCTGCAAAACACTTCTGAGCAAAATTTGACTTTCAGTCTTTCCATACTTTGAAGCCAATTTTTCGACATACTCATCAATAGGGCCAGGTTTACCTTTTAAAAGTGGACCCAATGGTGAATAGGCCGAAACTAAGATATCGTTAGACTTAGAGAATTCGACGATACCTGGTGTTTGGTTCTGCAAGTATGCATTGTATTCAATTTGGTTAACAGCTGGCTTATATTTAGGCTTACTATTCAAAATAACCTCAAGATCTTCCTTAGTGAAGTTCGACACCCCGATGTTCTTAGCGAATCCGTCATCCACTAATTTCTCAAGGTATTGCCATGCCTCAACCAAATCGAAACCGTGGGTCTCTTTTTTAATGAAAGGAGCATGAATTAAGTACAAATCAACATAATCAATGTTAAATTGTTTTAAATCTGCTTTCAAAGCTTCATAAGGATTGACCTCTTCAGATCTCGCTTTGTAAGATCCATCTCCTGCGAAATACTTGTCTGTAATGAATATGTCCTCTCTCTTCACTCCACTTTTGGCCAATGCTTGACCAATCTCCTTATTAGTATTGTAAATTTCGGCACCATCAATATGCGGAGCTCCAGTTTCAATCGCAAGCTGTACTGCTTCAACTACCTTATCGTCGATTTGATTTTGTCCAAATTTGAACCATTTAGTTCCAACACCATATCCAATTGCTGGAATTGTGTTTCCGTTTGAGAGCTTAAAAGATTTTCCTTGTAAAGACATTTTAATTATTTAATATGTTTCGATTTAAATTTAACAGCAATTCAATTGCCGTATTAAATATGGTTCTATTCCACCCTTTTTATACCCCATGATTCCACTTTGGACTTATTGCGATTTTGTAGCCACATTTGAGTAAATATTAATAAGCATTTTAATAATGTAAAATAATATTGCTAAACATTTATCCGTCACAGTATACTCCAAAATAGTTTATAAATTTGACATATAGAGAATTGTAAATTTATTAACTGTATATTATGACTAAAAACGAAGAATTTTGGAACATAAAAATTTTATAATACATGTAAAGATGACAACATAAACTTCATATCTAAAAGTGCATA